AACCTAAGTCTAGAGCCTTGTACTATACCAAAAAAATAGTTAAACTCATTAAAAATTCAAGTGATACACATAAATTGCTTAAAAAATAATCAGTGCCTGCCAAGAGTAGAAGCCAGAGATGTAACTAAAGATGTTGAAGCTAGTTAAAGAGATATGACTTTGTGTTTATATGAGGGTTTAGATATTTATAACTTATGAACTACTTCTGACTTCATTATGTTTTTCTATTGCCCTTTATGCTATTTTCCAAAACTTAATTATTCCTTTTCCATCTTGGCAGTTTGGACCCATTAAATAGCATAAAAAAGTTATGTTTCTTGAATGACAAAAATTGATACAAAGAATTACTTAATAGTTTATTTTGCATCAGCTTTTATTGAGAATATTTGGTAACACAGGAAGTTGTGTTGGAAAGGGGCTGCTCAGATCTCTGTGGTTTTCAATCTCTTAAGCAGCAATGCCCTCCTGTGGACTCTGGGTAGAATGAGTTCTGAATAACTGGAAAGGTGTATGCATGGACATTATTTGGTTTTCCTTCTTCCTAACACATTAATTAAAATGTCCCATTAAGACATTTGATTTAATTGGCATTATCTGGCCAATGTTTCTGGTTTGAGAAACACATTTCCTCTAGGTAATGATACAGGTGGAGCTTTTATCTGAAAAAGCAGCTACTTTAGAAACTTCAGCTGCTGATATTTTTATTCTATAGGTTGCTATCAGAATTGAAAAAATGTCACACTGCATCTGCCTTATCAGAAAGTGAAAAGCATGTATTTCTTTGGCATGACACTTTCCTATGGATTTTTATATCCATAGGCTGATATTATGCATTTACTAGTTTAGAGCAAAAAGCAGTTAAAAATTCTGTGGGAAGCTGCTGTGGCTGCTGCAGTGTTTCTGGTTTACACCTCACACACATTGAGGCTCATCTTTGCTTCTGCACTCACTGTGGCAGCACCTGGGTCTTGTTGGCTCATGTAGCTTGAAGGATGTCTGGGTTTTGGAAGGACAGGTTTCTGCTAAGGAAGACAGGAGCCTGTCCTGAAATGGAAAATGTAAACCTCCCCCCTCCAAATTGTTAAAAATTTGAAATGAAGGGTCTCTCAGGAAAAAAGTATGGGAGCAGGAAATAACAGTTCTTTAATAGGGAAGAAAATAAAAAGATAAACAATGCAGTAAGCCAAACAACACTGACAGAGTCAGAACTCAACCTGACACCCTGTGGGTCAGGGTGTTGGCAGCAGTGCAATTGGAATTGCGGCTGCAGCCCTCCTGGAGTGTCAGGGGTGGTTCTGCTGGAGCAGGGATCCTGTAGAAGAGTGCAGTCTTCTTCTGAAGATCAGTGGAAGAAGAGGCAGCTGCTGCTCCTGTGGGAAATCCAGTGGAGAAGCTGTGCTGGTGTTCCAGAATCTCAGATTATATCCAGGTAGGAATGCTTGGCTCCTCCCTCTGGGCTCACATCTCCCAATGGGATGCTGTAGTTCTTATCAGCCATGCAGTGACATTCAATAGCCTGTTATCAGCTGATGTGGAAGAGATAAGGAAAACTGCCCACTTAACAGAACACAACTACCATCCAGATGGCAAATAGAATACAATTTGCTTGGCAATCCAGGACAAAGGAAAAGCACATTCCAGGAGCACAGAAAGGCACCTAGCTCCTGGGAATGTGTGCACCAAGTGATGACTGGGTACCTCAGCAGGTGTGAGTCCAGCAGCAGCTGGAGACGTCTGGTTGGAGCCTCCAGGCAGCTGGGATGACTGGAGGAGTGCAGGTCTGTGGGTGTGTAGGAGAAGCTGGTGTCCATCTGGCTGTTCTGCCTGCACCCCAGAGCCTGGGGGATGTGTCAGGGCACAGGGATGTGAGCAGGCTCTCAGCCCTGACAGGCAGGGACTGAACTCGGAGCAGGATTTTGAGTGAAGGTGTGAATGAACATGAGCTCACTCTGGCAGCTGGGAAAGGCAGGGGCACGGCAGGACAGAAGGACCCCAGGCCAAGTGCAGTCTGGCCTTTGTGCATTTCCGGAGGAGACGTTTCCACCAGCAGGACGTGGATATGTGTGTCTTAAAGGTGTTTTCCTTTCATTAACCAACCAGTTAAAAGTGTAAATGAAGAATTTGGGCTACATCTGAATTGAGTCAGCAGCTGAGTTTTCCTACTGATTTGCTCACATCTTAAAGAGCCTCATCTCCTCCTGATGCAAGCTGTGACTGTTTTCTTTGATCTGTTCTTGGCCTACTTGTCTGTCTTGCTTTCAGGGAGAGAAAGTGCCTGAAGACAAGCTTTGTTTTCTTTGTTATCTCTTGAGGCCATAATTAGCTCCTCTTTATTTTTCATCCTTTTTGCTCTCAATTACTATAGGACTATAAAACTCTCATGGATTATTTTCCAGGTGACACATACTAATTTATCTTGTGAAGGGCCATACAGCTCTTACAATAACTAGTACACAAAATAGTTTTGTATTTCCTGTAATTTATGTGCAGCTTGCAGACAGCCTCTGGGAAGATTTTTATTTAATACAGTAGGATATGTTTGTTTATTTAAAACCCACAAATATTTCAGTGGCATTATGGGATACACTCTTTTCTTAAACTAGATAAAATGATGGTGTCAGTTTATGCATTGAGGCAAATGGATTTAAACAACTTTCCTTGTGACTGTCAAACAGAGTCATTTAATAGGTTACTTTTACTATACACATGGCTATAACATAAAAAAAATCCAATCTGAGTAAAATCAGATTTCTGTATTGCAAGTACCAATACTACAGGCAATGATAATCATAGCCTGTGAGAGAAAAGCCTATTCAGCCTCTCTGGATTTCCTCTGGGGCTGTGGTTAACCAGCCTTCCAGCACAGCCAATGTTCCTCTTGTGTCTGTGTCTCCAAGGGAGCATTTCCAATTGATTCCCATCAGGGGGATGCTGCAGTTCTGATTCCTCCCTCCTGCCAGCACCAGCAGGTCACACACACACACACAAATGTTTCAGAAAGCTGGAGCAGCTGAAAACCAACTCCTTTGTTTTGATAAAACCATTTATGGCTGTCTCAGTTCTCTTATGTGGATCGCTGTGTGTTTGCAGAAGCATCAAGGCTGGCACATGGGAAAAGGCAGGATCAGTTCAAGAAACTTGGAATATACATCCTGACAGTGCCTAATGCAAAACAGCAGCCATTCTTAGCTCCTGCTTAATTTTTAACATAAACCCTCGTGGCTGCAAGACCGAAAAAAAAAATCTAAAAATCTTTCTAATGAAAAATTCACTTAAGTTGAAAGTAATGCTGCAGTCTTCATGACAGCAATGTTTAATGTACTATAAAAGTAAGAGGGAAAAAAAGGAAAATTATCTCACTATTTATCATTCCACAGGGCTTGCACAGTCTTCAAAAGCTCTAATTGTTTTTCTGAGAATATGCCTCCTTTTCAGAGCTAAGGAGAGATCTAAGGGTGAGTAGGCTGTGATAGGGTTGGAAAGAGAAAGGGAAAGCAGGGGAGGAATCGGTAGCAGGAATAGTGAGTGAGAAGGAATCACAGAAAGGTTTAGGTTGGAAAAGCCCTTCAAGATCATCGAATTCCTTCAGCACTGCCAAAGCCACCACTGCACGGTGACCCCAAGCGCTACATCCGCACTCCCTTTTAAATCCCTGCAGAGACGCGATTCCACCACTGCTCTGGGCAGCTGTGCCAGGGCTGGACCGTGTTTTCCGTGAAGAATTCTTCCCTGGCACCCAACCTAAACCTTCTCTGGCACACCCTGAGGCTGTTCCTGCCACCCTGTCCCCTTGGGAGCGGGCTGCCAAGGGGACGGGGGACACAGACGAAGGAAGAGGCGCGGCTGCCAGGAGCAGACAGAAACAGGGCGGCCCGGCAGGTTAGACCTCGGGGAGGGCAGGGGAAGGCGAGGGCAGGGTGCGGTGTGGGCACAGTGGCGGAGGGTTAAAGCCCAGGGAGGGCAGGGTGAGCTGCGGGCACAGGGGCGGAGGCGGAGCCCGGCCGGGGCCGTGCCCAGCGGGTACCGGCAACGTCCGTGCCCACGGGGCGGTACCCAGAGGCTGGCGGGCTCCGCCTCACGGTGCCAGCCACGGCAACACGAGGCAGCGGCAGAAATAGATGCACAGAGAGTTTCACATAAGCGTGAGGAAGAACTTCTTTACAGCGCAGTGACGAGTGCTGGGACAGAGGGCATGTGGAGCGTGCCTCTCTGGGGACACTCCAGACCCGTCCGGATGGGTCCATGTGCTGTGGGCTGGAGCGGGGAGCTCAGGCCAGCAGCGCCCCGGGGCTCCCGCCGCGCTCTGAGGGAGGCCCCGAGCCCCTGGCGGGCTCCGCCATTGGGGGCGCGCGCGGGGGGCGCCCAACGGTCCCCGCGGTTCAAACGCTCCCGCGCGCCCCGCCCCCCGCTCGCTGCCCCGCCCCTCGGGGCGGGCCCAACGGGGAGGGAGCGCGCGCCGGGCCGGAGGCGGCGTCCCATTGGCTGCCGGCCGCGGGCCCGGCGCATTGACGCACACGCCCCGCCCCTCCGCCCGGCGCGCGCGGAATGCGTCCCGCGTCCCTATTGGCTGCCCGACGCGTCCGTCGTCGGCGAACCCCGGGACTTTTGCGGAGGTCGCGCCCTTTCATTGGTTGTTGCACACGTCCATCGCGACTTAAGCCACGCCCCTTAAAGGTAAGTGGCGCGCGGGGACGGCGCATCGCTCTCATTGGTTGCCACGGCGGGGGAGGAAGGCGCGGGGGGCGGGGCTCCCGGCGGCCCCTTTGTGTGGGCACCAGTCGCCGGCCGCGCTCCCGAGAAGCTGCTGCCGCCATTTTGTGCGCGCCTGTGTTCGCGCCCACCCCCGCCCGCCTTTCCGGGGGAGCGGCGGCACCGGGGACGGCCCGACTGTGCTGCCGGTCAGGTGAGGCGGAGCGGAGGCGCCGGGCCGCGCCGAGGCAGCTACCGCCGGTGGCCGCCGCAGCGGTGAGGTCGCGTTGCTCGCAGGGGGAAGAAGCGGCAAGACGGAGCAGGAGGGGAAAAAACCTCCGGAGCTGCCCCCGAACAGGAGGAGGAGTCTCGGCGCCAGGCCCAGGCGCGGCCCCGGAGGCAGCATGGAGAACTCGCAGCTGTGCAAGCTGTTCATCGGCGGGCTGAACGTGCAGACCACGGAGGCCGGGCTGCGGGAGCACTTCGCGGCCTACGGCACCCTCACCGACTGCGTGGTCGTGCTGAACCCGCAGACCAAGCGCTCCCGGTGCTTCGGCTTCGTCACTTACTCGGCGGTGGAGGAGGCGGACGCCGCCATGGCCGCGTCCCCCCACGCGGTGGACGGGAACGCGGTGGAGCTGAAGCGGGCCGTGTCCCGGGAGGACTCGGCCAAGCCCGGCGCTCACGCCAAGGTGAAGAAGCTCTTCGTGGGCGGCCTCAAAGGGGACGTGGGCGAAGGGGACCTGGTGCAGCACTTCAGCCAGTTCGGCCCCGTGGAGAAGGCCGAGATCATCGCCGACAAACAGAGCGGGAAAAAGCGCGGCTTCGGTTTCGTCTACTTCCAGAACCACGACGCCGCCGATAAGGCGGCCGTGGTCAAGTTCCACCCGATCCAGGGCCACCGAGTGGAGGTCAAGAAGGCCGTGCCCAAGGAGGACATCCAGGCGGGCGGGGGAGGCGGCGGCTCCTCCAGGCCCTCCCGGGGAGGCAGAGGAGGAAGGGGTCGGGGCGGCGGCGGCTCCGGCAACCGGGATCACAACGGGCTGTCCAAAGGAGGTGGCGGCTACAACAGCTACGGCGGCTACGGCGGGGGAGGAGGCGGCGGGTACGGCTCCTATGGCAGCGGTTCCTACGGAGGCGGCGGCGGAGGGGGAGGCGGAGACTACGGCAACGGGTACGGCGGGTTCGGCAGCTACAGCCAGCACCAGTCCTCCTACGGCCCCATGAAGAGCGGCGGAGGAGGTGGAGGAGGGGGCGGCAACTGGGGGGGCCGCAGTAACAGTGGACCGTACAGAGGAGGCTATGGTGGGGGAGGCTACGGGGGCGGCTCTTTCTGAGCTGGAGCGCCCATACCCATTGATGGGGGGGCGTGCAGAGCCCTCCCTTCGATACGGGGCAGCTTCCAAATGGTTTCTCCCCTCATTCGCCGAAGGGCAGCTCCTTTTAAATGCCTCCCTGCTGTGGGAGCGGCTCCTAAATGCCCCCTGAGGGTCGCCTCTGCTGCCTGTGCCACTTCGTTCTCTCTGAAGATGGACTGGGCCCCACATACACATATTTTGTGTTACAGTCATTGATGGACTCTATTTTTTTATTATTACTTGGACCTTGGTCGTTTTTATACTAGCAACGAAATATGTCTTGTTTTAATTTGTTTTTGGGGGGTGCGGGGTGGGAAGTGTCTTGCTGATCTGGAGTAAATACTGGGGAGGGTTGGGGGGAAGTTCCTTTGTTGTAAGGACTCGATGCCTGGATACTACGTTTTTTTCTACAAAAGCTACTCGGATCCCATGACTGACTTTTAACATTTCTGTAAAGGAAGAAAAAATGGTTTTTACGTTTTTTATTTTTTAAATAAATCATTGTGTTCATTGACCTTTACACGTCTAATTTTTTTTCCTAGGATCAATTCCGTACGGTTTTAAGGCTTTTCTAGGTTTGAAGCAAGTGTTCCTCTGCTTTAAAATCTCTGTGTACTTAGAGTAGTAAATATTTTGTTGCCAGTAAAGGTCCTAACTGACTTTTTTGCTAGTGGCTTTCAAACACGACAGAGAAATTTTTGAAGTACTAATCCGTGGATGTGGTCTGTTTTTTAAATACTCGTTCTCACTTTGGCAGTTTGTGTGCATCCACCATCTTGTACTAGGCAGTTTGACGTGCTGACATGGTTGGTCAATTTTTTCTATAGGACTTTTCCATCAACGTATGTACTGTGTAGTTTTGAAGAAATAGTTTGTGTTAAGCATGTGCTTCATTCATATAAAATGTTCAGAATTTCTTATTGCTTAGTTTTCAAGTCCTTGGTTTGTCTTGTGTGTGATTCCTTCCAGGAAAGGGTCGACATTTATCCCTTCTATTAAAGGCATACTTGTTTTCCTAGCCCGGGTTAACAGATTTCACTCGGAACTATTGTCCTTCCTGCAAGTTCCTGAGAACCTCACAGCTCCATCTGCTGTCAGCATGGCAGCCCCGTGCTGGGGCTTCCTTAAAGCAGGAGTAAAACTGGCTTGCTGACCATTGTACCAGACTTTGGAAAGTTATTTTATGCCACTAGATGACTGGTGTAGAGTGCAGTGACATCTGCATGTGAATAAAGATGGGGTCCCTGACTGCTGGTTGGGTGGGAGGGGGAAGGAATGGATTTGCAATACCTGCCTCAGCACGTAACTGAACAAACAATTGCAGTTTGCCCATATTTCAGAAAGTGGTGGTCTAAACTGGGCAAAGAGCTCTGAGAAGTGAGCCAGCAAGTGTACCGGTAACATAGGTGCCAGTTGTAAAGCAAAGATATCTGTGTAGTCTGCTTGATTTAAAAATGTATATTTGTAGCCCTTTCACGCAATAGAATTCAAGTTTGTTGTTTATTAAAAAGCATAATGTTTTAGGGGAAAACTGCCTTCCTGCATAGAAATATAGAATAGCAACGTTTATGGGTTTATGGATATCAAATAAAAGATTTGAATTCCTTATATGCTTGAGTGAGAGTATATATGATGTGGGGCATGCATTTAAAAAGTACAAAGTTATGTTGACTTCAGGTTTCTAAGCTCTTAGAATGCTGATGTTTCATGGGCCTGCATTATAAAAGCTGCTTTTTGCTTTCCTCCAGATATGCAAGATATTAGGCAAATAATTCCCACTGATTCCAGTGCAAAGTTAAATGTGTAGGGCTTGGTGCTTCTGGGCTGAAGAATTTCGAATAAAATTTCAAAGTATTGTTACTATTTGTTATCAATCGAACTTGATGATTTAAATTGAAATGAGCTTTGTTGTTATTATTAGTGAAACTGCATCACCTTAATTGCCTTTGTGAGCTTAAACAGGGCAACCTCTTGGTATCATCAGGATTTAAACTGAGCTGAGTTTCCTCCTGATTGTGGTTGGTTGTGGCTCTTATGGAGACTGGCTCTCTTTGGCTTAGCTGAGCTTTTATGAATGAATAGGTTCCAAATAACTTGCTGTTTGCAATTATACTGTAATTTTTCTGTCTCAAAAGCCTCTTAGTCACTGTTGTGCACCAGCACCTCTTATACATTGTTGTAAGTCAAGTTTCAGAGTCTGAGTTTGTAACACACTGCAAGTGCCAGCTCTTGCCCGTGCACAGCTTCAGGTGGTTTTATATCATTGAAGGCTTTTTCTGTACCTTTGCACTTTACAGCCATGTTGGACAGTCATCCTTGAACTTCATCTGAAGCACAGTTTTCATGTTCTTAGCTGAAACGAGCAGCAGAGTTCTAGGTTGTGTGTTAGTTTGAGTTTGGGGGTATGATTTAGTCCTTTGCAGTGTTGTTGCCTTAACCTTATGAAGGAACAGCCTGGCTTGCAGAGAAATGGTTAAACTCACTTTTGTGATGTGTCTTGTCATTTGATTTAGGAAGTTAAAGGTTTGTGCACCAGCTTTATGGTATTTTCATGTTATGTGCTGTGACAGAATATGTTGATACTAGGAACAAGTAGGTTTTAAAAAAAGTGACTTCGTGAAATCTGAGGATTTGGGAAGTGCTGTGCTGGAATGTGCTGTTACCTGTGTGCAGTAGTCCTTGTGGGACTAAAGTCTGCTGGGACAAAGAGCTGATCCCAAAAATCACACATGGATTAGGGAGTGGGCTGCCTAGTGTCACCCTCAGGAGATTGTCACCTGTTTAACCATGTGACTTGAGTTGGTGGCACCTGCTCTGTGACCCCTGCTGTCTTGGGAGTGAGAACTTGTGACCCTGCAGGTGCCATTGGAGAGGATCCTGTGAGGGATCAGGGAAGGGGCAGCAATGCCAGGGTGTACCAGGAATACAGAACAGTGCAGATCTCTATTGGGTGGCATTAAAGACACTGTGACTTCAAGACTCTTGGAATATAAACCTGTTTCTAGGACAGTGATTTGTTGATAAAGCTTTGTTCACGTGTTTAAAGGTATTTAATGATTTTCTGAGCTTGGGTTTGCATAGAGGTGCATAGGAAGAACTGAGCTGAAATAAGGTGTGTGGCTGGCATGTAAATAAGTTTGTTACTTCACAGTTGCTTCAGGAAGGTCACAAAGATAGGAATAAAATAACTTTGCTGTTCCTTAGTTTGTAGTTGAGTTCTGAAATTCCTATGTCTGAAATGATCTCAATAAGTTAATGGCCTTCCATTCAGGACCAAATGCTCCATTGCGTTGATGTCACCTGTGAGAAATAGAAAATAAGAGCAATTAGTTGGCTTTCAGCATTTAATAAAGTAAAAACATGGTAGTTTTCTTAAAACACAGATGTCCTTTTATTTTTGTAATCTGCATGACTAAAATGGAATTCCCAAAACCAAACTTTCCAGGCTACAGTGTCACTGAACTCAGTGTGTTGTGATGTACATACAGTTTTTTAATAGTAATGGGTGTTCATGTCTGCTCTAAAATATAATTTGTTCTTGACTTGTAAATTTTATTTGGCTAATAAAACTAGCCTAACTTAAACTTTCATAATACTGACTACTACTGCATTAAAAAGAAACATGCTAAACACCTGTACATGGAGTGCAGTGATACTTGCACAAGGCTGTGGAAGTACCTCCCACGTGTTTGTTGTGACATCAGGTGCTGGAAAGGTGGTTTAGAGCAATGCTAACAGCTCAGACAGCTTCCATGGCACTAAATCTCTGTGGGTCACTGGTGCAGTGACACTCTTACAAAATAAAAGCTGTGTCTTGTCCTGCAGGCTCCTGTAGTGTAACAATCCTTACCCTCCAGAGCTGGGCAAGCTTTTGTGTTGAATTTACAACAGCTGCAGTCCAAGCTCCAGGTCTGGCTCTGGCAGTCCCGTGCTGCTCCCAGGAGCTCAGCCCTGTGGGGAGGTGGCACTGACAGGAGATGTGCCTGAACTCTACCAGATGCTCTGCACATCTGGACTTAACGCCCTGTGAAGCAGGAATACTTAAAATGGCTAAAAATGTAAAGTTCTCAAATGCTTTATGGTGTCCTCCTCCCCCCCACCCTCAGCTGAGATCTCTGTAAAACAAATTTTGCTTTCATTTGGCATTGGAAGGTCTAATTGGATGGTGTAGGTCAGAAAAGTGGTTTATTACCCTGCTCTGCCAGCTGATACTGCCATCCCAGCATGGCATTGCCACTGCTGCCAAAAAGGCTCTGAGTGGTGCTGAGGACTTCAACCTCCCATCTGAGTGTGAAAAGAGAGCAGCTTCCTTACTCTGCATACCTCAGAATGTTTATTCTGAAAGGAAAAAGTTTGGTTTAAATAATTATATTGTTAAATAATCCCTAAAAAATGGCCTGGAGGACATTGGCCCCTCTGATGTGCACAGAGTGAACAAAACACGAGGTGTTCTGTGAGAATGGGGTTTTGCTCCTACAGTCTGCCACAGGGCTGGGTTTCTGATAGAAGGCAGTTTATCCAAACCTTTATACTAGGATTGTTTGACCTGTTGTAGCTACTATGGATTAGTTTATCATGTAATCCAACAGTTTATACCACGTTTATGTGGTTTACATTGTTACAGACCTTTACTTTCTGAGCTATTTGGAAAAAGGCATTTTCAATGGTTTTTCAAACTCTATATGGGTAATACCTGGGATTAATATTAGGTGATTAAAAGTGTAACACCCAGTTTTCAGTCTTTCACACTAGCCAGAGGCATACTTTACAAAACAATGGCTTATTTAACATGTTTTGCATAGCTGATTCTGTGATCTGATGTGTGTCCCTTAAAGATGAGTTTTCTGCTTGTTATTTTTGTATTTCTTAATGAATAAAACAGTTATGTCCCTGCTTCACTTGAAAATGTATTTCACAATGCAAGCACGCCGCAAGGAGTTCTGAGCTAGCCTGAACAAGCACTATTTGCTTTTGTTGATGGGCATTTTTTTGGTCTCCTGTTGAAGCATTACTGCTCTGTTATTTCTGGAATGTGCATTTATACACACACACAGATGTTACCTCTACTTCCACTTACCTTTAATGAGTATTTATTTGTGCTGTAATGTAAGCAGTACTATTGATGAGTGTCAGATGTGTATTTCTCATTACAAGATGAAAGTCTTTCTGCTATGTATGTTTTCCTGGGAATTTTGTATATTTACCTATATTTCCTGGGAATTTTTGTATATGAGGACTTTTAAGGGGCTGATGGAGTTGGGTACTTTTCTTGTTGCTGTTCACTTTGACAAATCCTAGTCTTTTTACTGTCTCTGAGAACGCTCACCAATTTCTATTATATATAAATGGGTGGAAATAGTCACTTTTGAACTGATACCTCCTGTTCATATGGCTCTCAGAGTGTTTTAATCCTGTAAAATCTATATTCCCCTTAAAAACATCTCTCTGGGAAAATGGATAGTGGGAACTCAGAAGGAACAGCAGCTGTAAAGCTGTAGTTCACTGCATAAGAGAGACATTCTTCAGATTTTTCTGTTTCCTGTATTACCTGCTGAGTAGACTGAACAGTTAAAAAGATGGTACAGTTCAGGTCTAGGCTGTAGCAAAAAAAACCCCAGCCAGCTTAAAAACCAAAATTCAAGTTCTGTTCTCTGTGGTTCAGCCTTTGCCAGTAGGAGTCCTAACCTAAAGCTGCAACAGCATTTTTTCAAGTACATTCTGAGTGTGGTTAATCTTGGTGTAACTTCTTTTTGCTAAAAGTCTTTGAGGCAAAGCTGCAATGTTGCCTGTTGTTGTTACAGTAAACTGAGGCTTAGAGCAGAGCTATTCTCAGATTGTCAGCCATCCAAGGAACCAAAGCTCCTTAACTTGGAAAACTAGATGTCAAGCCCAGGCAGACTAATAATGCCATCTGTCTGAGGCATCTGGATATTAACCCTCTTAGCATGATGCTTAGGGTTTCATTCCCAACTGCTTTCACAGATGGAAAGTATACAGATTTGAAAGAATAGCTCTTCTTTTTTTAAAAAAATTAAATTGGGCTCTGTTGAGCTGTATACAATTTTGGTGCATATTATATTCATCAAACTACTATAAATACCTCTTTTCATGAGTAATGCAGTGAGGAATCTATGCCAATTTAGAAGGGAATTACATTTCTGGCTGGAAATATGTCAAGATGCACATTTGCTCACCACCATCAAAGTACCAATCACTGATTAACATTGCAGAAAAATTCCTTAGAAGCAAAATGAGCTGACGAATGTGAAAGTACATAATTTGTTCAAATGCTACTTTGTACCATGGAATTGCCAACTGGTTTGTCTCAGAGAAGCCCTGTTCTCCTGGGAATGCTGTTTGAATTTAAAGACATGCAAAGGCACACATCTGAAAACACAGTGTCAGTCTGTAATCTAGTCAATATAAAAGATGAGTACCATGTCAGTCTCTTCTGTCATTTCTGTAATTTTTGTTGCTTTCTGTAGCTTTACAATGGACATTCCCTCTTTTGTAAGAAAATTTGCTTTCCACAGAACCCTGCAGGGAGGGAAGCATGAATGTAGTCACTGCAGGCACTGCCTGGGAAGGAGAAAGTTCTGGAATGCTGAACCTGTTTGCAGCACAGGTGTAGATTAAAGCAGTGCTAGGTAAAATGCACTGCTTTAAGTAGTTTGGGACTGGAAGTTGATGTGCTTTTTACTTTTTCTCTGTGGATCAATAATCTTGTTTTCTGTACTGCACACTAACCCAGCTGCAGTGGGAAGCCTCCCTCTCCCAACCACACACCCTGATGAACAAATTGCAGCATGGGCAGGGCTTGGCCCTGGGGGAGGCTGTGCTTACCTTGTTATTGTATACAAGCACAGCACTATCAGCTGTGTTTTGAAATACTGTACTCCAATTTCATCCTCCAGATCCCCTCCCTCCTCAGAAGGGCTGTCCTCTGGTTTCAGGCTCACTGGCTCTCCCTGGGCTGGGTCACAGCATTGTGAAAGATTCCTGATGCTAAATCCCCAGTTCTCTCCTTGTGCTTATTTAGTACCTCTTTAGGTTTTAGTAATCTTTTAAGTTTACTGGGTAACAAATTTGGCCAAAGTCCTTCACTGTGAGATTTCATTTGGAGTTGTTTGTTTTCTTTCCACCGCTGCTGTAATAATGATGCTCTGTTTATTGGAAGGGGCTCCTTTGCATCCTGATTGCAAGGCCAGGACTTCTCCCCCAAGATCACTGCTGGATGTTTGGAGTTTTCATTGCTCATGCCTCTTGCACAGGGTGGTTAGCAGCTGCATTCTGCAAGGGTAGTGCCAGCTTTCTCCTGTTACTTTCCTGGCTGTGTGTCCTCCTGAAAAAGAGAAATCCCCAGCAGCACAAGGAGCTGCAGCCCTTGCAGTCACTGTGCCTTTTCCCTCTAGGCCCATCCCTCCATTCCTTTCAGCAGTCTTAAATGCAGGCAAATTATTTTTTTCTCAAATGACATCATTTAGATGTTGTGGGAATTTTCTTTTACTCACCCAGGACCAGTTAAAACCTCAACTTCCTCTGTGTGGTATCAATTTTACTTTTAAATCTTCGAGGTGTGAGCTTGGTGGTGAATCAGCACCAGTGTGTTTTGGAAATGTTACAGTGGCTTGGGGTGTAGGTGGTGGCAATGGGGAGCTCTTGTTTTTGATATATTGGGGAGTCAGATGAGAGGGAGTTGGGAAACATCACCTTCAGAAGGAAGAGCTGGGCTTGTTTTATTGCTGGAGCTGATCTGTGCCAAAAGTGTTGCAATGAGCTGATGCCACACACTCTCTAATGCCTTTCTAAAGTGTGTTTTTTTTCTTTCACAGGGTGCACTTCTGTGTGAATGAGAGGATGGGAAAGCTGAGCCCTGAAAAGCACACCACAAAAGTCGAGTAAGTGAACAGAAACCTGAGCTGAGCCCCTGACATACAGTTCCCACTCTGAATAAACTATGGAATATTGAACAGAAAAAGAGGTTTGTCCAGAAAATACCAGGCAAGATAATGAAGGTCAGTTACCTGTGAGGAAGATATGCTGCCTGAAACAGGTTTTTCTGTTCTGGTACAATAATGTGCCTGCAGAAACAATCCTGTCTAAACTTTTGTGTATGGCATCTGTGGGTTTCACTCATTTGTGTTGATGTTGCAGCACATGTTGCATTATGTTACAATATGAGGGTGGTGGGCTGTGTTTCTTGGCTTTTGCAAAAAGCAAGAAATGAAATGGAAAAAAAAATTCGAAGAAGAGAGCAAGACAAATGAGTGTGCAGGGAATAAGAGTAACAAGAGACTTGGGTTATGGTTTTGAGATCCTGAATGAGAATGGCTTTGTTTATGCTGTTCTCTCTAAGTTATAGTATACAAATATTAATTAGGCCATACATCTTTATAAAGCATATATAGATAATTTCCCCTTATTACCGAAGGTAATAAGGAAGCATTAAGGGTTGTATTTTAAAGATGAAGAATCACATTAAAATGATATCTAATTAAAAAAATGTTGGTAAAAATAATCCTGGTTTTTGGTCCACAGCCAAAACTTTTTCTCAAGTTCAGTCTTTTTCTGAAGAAAATGTTTGTTAAGTTTGTTACTTTTTTCTGAGCCTGTGGCAAGAACTGTACACCCAGTAGGTGCAGACTCTAAGGAGGCAGAGAGACTTGGTAGATTTGGGCAACTGAATACTGACCTTTGCCTTTGTTCCAGTGCCCACAAGAGTTCTTTTTACAGCCTTCTTCCTGATTTTCTTTTCATTTTCAGCACTATATTCTAAACAATAAAATCAATCTGAAAATCTTCCTGCAAATTTCTGATAAATATGTAATGTGACTGCAGGGCAGGAAGTGTGTGCCTCTGACACAGGTGACTGCAGTGACATCCGTGACTGATGCTCCAGGAAAGAGTCAGGAGGGCAGCAGGAAGAACATTTTCAGCTGGTGGGTAACTGCTGGGTAGGTGAGCAGTGGGATGGCTCAAGCCCCAGGAATCACAGATGGGGGTGAAGATGGTCAGGGGTCGTTGCCCTAAAAGTGGTAATGTTATTGTAAAATTGTTGCAATAAACCCACTATTTGTAGGAATTGTGATTTGTACAAAAGAGTAAAGGAAAACAATGTTCTGAAGGCAGATTTTGTTGGTCTGCAGGAGCTCAGGAGTGGGATGTGTGCCAGCAGAGGGCAACAGCCCTGAGCGCCGCTGGACAGGCTGGTGCTGCTGCAGCATCCACCGGAATGCTCATCCCAGGGAATGCACATCCCGGGGAGTGCTGGCATCCACAGGAATGCTCATCCTGAGGGAATGCTGGCATCCATAGGAATGCACATCCCGGGGAATGCTGGCATTCACCAGAATGCACATCCCGGGGAATGCTGGCCTGGCTGCTCCTGCCCTGCTCTCCCAATCACACACTTCAGAACACAGCCCACCGGTGGGAGTCTCTCACTGCCAGAGCATCCCTGGGTCCAGCCCTGGGAAGGTCCTTACCTAGGAGGTCTGCCAGAGCATCCTGGTGAGAACTTGTGTTCCTGTGAGCTGCTGCAGTAGGTAAATTGTAGCTGCTGATTTGGGTTTGTTACTGAATTCTAGCAGCAGCAGGGCAGCAGATACCCTCAGGACTCCTCTGCTGAGGCACCTCCATCTCCAGGTCCCTTGGGAGCCAGTACCTGAGTACCACCCCCAAGTGACTGCACTTTGTGCTACCAAGGCAGCTAATCCAGCAGATACCCTATATATTGCTTTTCTTACATTAATATCCTTAGAGAACCTTTTCCAAGAAAACATATGGTCTAAATACAGATCTATCTGAGTATCTTCTTAATTAAGATGAGTAAAGAAGTTTATTTAGAAGGAACTCCTGGAAATAAACTGGTTCAAAGAACCCTCAAAGCAGGACCAGCTTCAGGGTGAGATCAGCTTGGTCACTCAAAGATAAATATATATACTTAATATATGCATTAAAAATAAATATGTTTATATATATCAACATATATTTTTATCTAAATATCTGTATCTCTAAAAAAACAGAAAGAAAAATAATTTAGGCTGCAAAGATGTAGCTCTAGAATCTTCTGTAAATGCAGTGTTATATTTACACCTTTCCCAGCTCTTCAATGCTGAAACCTTTTTTGAAGGAAGATTTTTGAAGAAGATTTCTGAAGGAAGTTGATGAATAATTTCAAGGAAGAGATTATGCAACTAAACAAGAGCTGCTAAAGATAGGAATTTCTTGATATAGGTCTCTGGAGCCTGAACATTGGTATATACCTGGAAACAGGTTTGTGCAGGGGAGTAAAGTGTTCCTGAATTGTTGTTTGTACTGTATTCAGGCTGGGTGATCCAGTGATTCACAACTCCTGCAGTTTGCCTTGCAGAACTAGAAAGAATTTTTCCCAATTTGATGCCATTTGCTTTCTGCTGGGTTTTTGGGAGGTGAAGAGTGGCCTTTCAGGCTTCTGCAGAGACTGTGGAGATTGACAAGGTGCTGTCTGATTGTATTGGGGCTCTTCACAGAATTAAATTCTTGTAAGCACTCGGTGTCTTTTCCTTATAACCTCAGCATTAAACCAGCTGCTGGATTTTGGGCCAGGAGAGAGTTTTGGATCAGATTGGTAGGGGTTGTTTTTATTCCCTCCCTTTGTGCCACTTTTATTGAAGAAATTCCTTGCTGCAGTGGAGACACTGGCAATGCTTTTCTCTCCCATCTCCCTGTGGTTCCTTGGAATTGGGGGCTTTGGTCTTTCACTGTAGATCTGATGGTTGTCACAGGAATCTGGGAAGGTTTTGGTGGGCTGAGGGATAGTAGGCTGGAACAGGTGTTTGGGGACCTTTCTGCTCTGAGAATTGGTTATATGGTTGTCAGTGGTTGAAGGTTGATTAGATGTAAGGTAATTTTTGGCTACTTGAGACTAGAAATTTTTGAAAGAGGCTGGAAAAATTCCACCCATCAGGTGTCACTAATTCCTTTCAGCTGAATGCTTTTTCATGCTACCAGTCTTTGCTTAAAAATAAACAAGACGTTTTTGCCTTGGGGTTGTTACCAACATGATTATTTTGCAAGGCTGCTGTAAAGATAATCTCTGATTACTGGAACATGCTTTTGTTCCACTCCAGCAAGGACTATTCACTGTTTTGCTTGTCTGTCACTGAACCTTTCAGGATTTGTACACAAGCCTGTGGGGCAAAGCATGTAAGAAGGTATTGCTGGTTTGGTTCAATTTAGGTGCTTTGCTCCCAGGCTGACTGGAGTGAGATGTAAATTTTTAAGGTGAAAGCCTAATATTTTGTTATTGAAAAACTTTGTGTTAATAAAAATACACAGGCACTTTGCAGCAGTTTCAGGGCTTGCTCTTGTATCTGGACTTTTTATGATTACTGAGGGATTTACTCAGAGGAAACAAGCTCTAGCCCTCATTTCCGAGGTAAATTCTACTATTTTTATATAGTTGCTTTTTCTCTGGTTTAAGCTTGTGTCTTGCAGTTTTGCATGTTGTGCATCAACAGTGTAAGACTGGACATGGGGAAAGTACTCAAGGATCTGGATGTTTTAAACTGATAGTTTAACAGGATTCTCTAGGGAAAATGGAGGAATTTAGCCTGAACGCTGTGTGAGGTTTGACTTCATGGCTTTATCTGTATTTCTTCTCTTTAGGGGTAGGCTGCCAAATGGTGTTTAAATAGCAGGACTCTCAATCCCCATGTGTCTTTGATAAAGTCCTTCAAGTTTCAGGTGTGTTAAGTTTTCTTACCTGAACAATTAGGGCGATGAGTAGTTAAGATTCTCAACAAACTTTTGAAACACTCCTGTGGAAGGCACAATAGCATCTGTTCATCATTGCTGATAGGTTTTAAAAAGATGTATGAAACTTGGGCTGAGGACATGGCTTGAGGAGAAACATGCAAGAGTGAGGTAATTTTATTTACAAAAGAGATGAAATGGCATCTTCAAAGAGAAATCTCTTGATACTTCTAGTTATCTCTTCCTCTTGCACAAGAACATTTTGTGAGTGGATGAGTAATGAAGAAGGCAAATGTTTCTTGTCTTTAATACAATTAACCTCGAAGGCCTCACTGGTGCAGAATACAACAGAAAAATTCTTTTAATAAAATGAATGGGGGAAAAAGATTTATGTAGAACTCTGTGCATTTGTATCAATTGGAATAAAAATGACAAATGTAATTTAGTGTAGTGCTTTAGGCTAAATAACACCTGCAGTTGAGGACCCATATTGCCTGTGCAGGGTCTATTTATAACAAATCTATCTATTTGGCCTGATAGATTGCATAAAGGACAGGAAGGCTTTGATAAATTGGGGAACCGGAGGCAAGATCCTGCTTTCTGCCGTGGGAGTGGGGACACTTTGGGGAACTGGGACCCCCTCCTTCCTCACCATCACCGCTCCTCTCCTGCGGGCTTGCCCTCGGCACTGGGGATGCTCAGCCACTGAACTCCTGTCCGGTCCGTAGATCGCAGGGACTGCAGCAGTTTGGGCCGCCCGGAGGACAAGTCCCGGGCAGCGGGGATGGATGCGGGGCCCCGGCGGGTCCCGCTCGGCCCGGCCCGGCCCGGGGCTGTGCCTGACCGATGTCGCTGCGGCAGCGGGGCCGTGCCGGGCCCGAAGGGTGCGGAGGGCGGTGCGGGGCGGTGCTGGCGTTGCCCGGAGACGCTGGCCAGCCCCGCCGCGGAGGGGAGGGGGCTGGCGGCGCGGCGAGCGGCGGCACTCGGTGCGGAGCGGAGCGGGGCGCGCCCGGCACGCAGCGCTCAGCGCTCCCGCAGGAAGCGGCCCGCGGCGGGGGCGGCCGCTCGCAGCCATGCCGGGCCCGGGGCGCTGAGCCGGCCCCGCCGCCGCCCCGCACAATGGAGGAGGAGAGGTGCGTACCGCCGGCAGGCAGGCAGGCAGGCAGGCAGCCTTTGTGTGCGCCCGGAGCGCGGCGGGATGGGGATGCCCTTGCCGGGGCTGTGCGCAGGAATGCGGGGCGCGGCTGCGGGGACCCCGGCGGGGATGGACGGCTCCCGCCGCGGGAGCCCGCCGAGCCCCGGGGATGTTGCAATGTCATGGTGACAGCGGCGAAGCCCCGCAGCCCAGGGGCTTCCGTGCGATATGCTTGGGATGGAATTGAGGACGTGAGGGAGGCAGGTCGGGGGGTGTTCGCTAAAATGGAGGTGCGGGGCAGGGGGCTGGGATGCCGGACAGGGGGGTGGGATGCAGGACAGTGGGCTGAGATGCCGGGCAAGGAGGAAGGGTGCTGGACAGAGGGGTGGAATGCCGAACAGAGAGGTGGGATGCAGGACAGGGGTTTGGGATACAGGACTAAGGGGTGGGATGCAGGACAGGGGGGTGGGTAGCTGCCCCGCCGGCACAACGTGCTGGGTTTGTGTGTGCCCTGCCTGCGCCTGGAACCTCAGGCAGCCGACTTCGGCATTCCGCTCAAGACAGAGTCGCTGATGTTCGCTGATATTCGCTGCTTTTCTGAGTCACGAGTGAAAATCCCTCACGCCCGTGGGTGCTTTGGGGTCGGTTTCCTGCCGGCGGTGTGCGGTGCTCGGGCAGTGCAGGGCATCCCGCGCCTCCCTCGCACCGGAGCTGGGCTGTGTAGACTTTATTTCCTGCCAGGCAGATATTTTGCTCCAAAACCTGCGTGAAGAAGTGTTTACAGAGTCGACCTAATGTCCACTGAACGCATAAAAGATATTATTCTGCGCAGGGACCTCGTGCATGCCAGAGATGTTCAGTGTTTTGGCTCTGCCCTCATTGCTTCCCTCTGTCAGGTGCCTTTTGCACACCAGAAGCTACTTGTGCTTCTTCAAATGAAACGTTAAACTGGTCTGGAGTTTTTACAATATTTTTTTAAGAACAGGATATGCTGAGTGCTTCCTTTTGTGCTGGTGACCTTGCAGGGAGTGGGGGAACAGAGAGGGGGCTTGACCTGCTGGTAGGACTAAATGTCAGGGCTTGACAGGAGTTTTGTTTGAATATGATACATTAGAAAATTAAGCTGGAGTAAACCCCCAAATTCTGGAAATTTTCCTTCTGTTGAGGGAAAACATTCACAGCAGCCTGTAGGAGTTGTTTTCCAAGCTCCAAAGGGCAGCTTTCTACCCTTCTGTGACTCAAGGGTTGCAATTGTTTGTGTATTTAATGTGCAAAACCTTTCATCCTGCCACGTTTCTCATTGCAGGGCTTCTGCTTCCCCTAATGGTGTGAACAGTCACCTCTGAATATGAATCCAAATATTAATTAATTTCAAGTGCCTTGAAATCTTAGTTTGTCACACTAGATGCCAGCTCATGGAATGGGATTTCCTTTTCTTGTGTGTTTTTTTTTTTTTCCTCTTTATTTGTATAAATGAGCCTGTGTTTGAGGAAATGGAACAGAGCTGTTTTGATACCCTAGGCTGGGCTCATCCTTGGCACAGTTGTTTGTTACTTTTTTTTTTGATGGCTACCAGCAATGGTCTCATTTTGACTGGAGGCCTTTTTCTGGGGATACAGTGGTGAAAAAGCCACTGGGAAAATACCTGGAGTGTTTTACCTTATCCTGTTTTTTCCAGACCATCTGTTTTTAGGGCATGAAGGGCTGTCCCCATCAGCATGTTCTCTGCCTCTGGAAGTGAGGAATGATTACCCAAATTGCTGCTTTCATTTCTAGTTTTTGGGAAGAGGAAGGCGGTCCTGAACTGGTTGTGGGCAGTAGTGATGTGGGGTTTGACTCTTGGCAAGAAAAGCTGGAAATATTCACCTGCTTTCTGGTTAAAAGGGCACAGTGTGTGGGGCTGTGCTGGGGCTGCTTTGGCTGCTCAGAGCAAGCCCTGGGAGGAGGTGCTCAGAACTGAGCTTGGTGGGCTCAGTCTGTGCTTGGTGCTGTGCTTTTGCCCCCCGTTTAAACTCAGATCTGTGTTGGGCAGACTGCTCCTCAAATTTTACGCTTGGTGGCTTTCACTATGGCAGAGTTCCCCCTGGTTTTTGACATTATTGCATTTTCCCTTTTTGTGGTTGGTGAGGATCCGTGCTGTTGGTGCTCACTTCACCTCTGACTCTGGTCCTGAGCCTGGCCAGACTCAAGTATCCTGTTAACTTGCACACCCAGGACACTCAGTGGTATCGTGTGCCCATGTCATTGCACATGAGCAGAAGCACCTGAGGGCAAGGGAGATTCAACCTGAAACATTCACATGAGGCAATAAAATATTTCAGAATCCTGCTTTTCTTTTACTGAGCTCATAGTAAAATGATGGTACTTCTATTTTATGGAGAAATTGCACAAGGCTTGTAGTTAGGCATGATACTCTGGTTCTGAATTTGAAAGAGTTTGAATAGGAAAAAACCCTCTGGAATGCTAATTTTTGTTAAAATATTAAAACACCTGTGGTTTTATATTTAAGTTAAGGTAGTCTGTGGTATCTGAGAAATATAATACTTGTCTTTGAAAGCCAATGGTATTGTCATATTTGAGTTATTTTGTGTTGTTTCCATTAGTGTCAGCAAGGACTTTTCTTTTCACTAGTTCCCAAAGTCTTCTTTCCCCCGGAGGTCTTCTTTGATATGAATACCCTTTTGGGGATCTGCTGTATGCCAATTGTGTGTTTTCCTAAGCTAATGTCTCCGTGTTCATCTAGGCACTGAAAAAAATCAACAAAATAGGAAAATAATATTGCTATTAAAAGAAAAATAATCCTTTCCATTACGCTGCCTCCCATATGTTTTAATGATAATGCATTTCTCTGAAATCCTCTCAAAACCCAGTTCAGTATGTAGATCCCTTCAGTCACAATTTTTTTAATGTCTTTGTATGTACCTAAAGACAAATTCAGAAATTGAGATTTTTATAAATATGCCATTACACTGACGTGTTTTTCTTACTGTGTCTGCCTAGATACAGACACAGTAAGGAAAAGAGGAATAAAATAGAGGAATAAAACTATTGGGCATAATGTATTTGTCCTGTGATTTGGGGTGCTGATTCTAAACAGAGAATTAGGCCAGTTAAAGTAAAATGATTTTTCCTTGTGCTTAGAGTAAAACTAAGACTAATTTTGGTCTATGTTGATTTTTGTACAGGTATTAAGGTTTTGAAGACTACTAACTGCTACTGGGCATCTGTCAGGTTTTTAGGCCAGAGTGATGCCAAACCTCTCAGAAACTGTAGATTAACATTTTCTGGTGATGATTCTTACGTATCCCCCAAAGAAGCTCCACAGGCTTTGGAAATTCATGGTTAGCAGACACTTTTAAGTGAATCCAGGTGTGCTGGCTTGCCCGTGCAGGACTCTGAGCCTGGCTGGGTCTTTGACCCAGCTTGTGGTGCTGAAGCTCTGCGGTTTTGGGGACCAACCAGGAGAGCAGAGCTCAGCCTGTGGTGCTGAGGCAGGAGAGGAGAGCAGCTCCCAGGGATGCACAGTGGGATGGGGCTGGGCTGGACAATGTCTGGTGCCCCATCCCCAGTGGGAGAGCCTGGTGGAGGGGGGCTCTGTGGTGTTCCTGTTGGGTTGGGAGCTGAGCCTGGGGGCTGTTCTCCCAGAAACATGAGCAGAACCTTGCCCCTCTGTGCTCTGAAGGAGACTGCATTTGAGGTCTGCCCTTCCTCCAGGGTGAACTCCTGGCTCCCATAAAGCCAGTGTTAGAACTGGATTTGGCAGAGCTGGGATTTTTGTTCCTGGGGTTTACCAGCTCTCTGCGCGGCAATAATCTTGCCAGGGGACAGTTTATCTCTAAGGAAGGCTTTTATTCTTTCACATAATCTACAAAGACATCTGTAATTATTGCTGGTAACTAAGGCAACCCAACTTTACAGTTGGTACGTGCGGGCAGCAGAACGGTGGGGTATGGCTTTTAAAATACCTTCCTGTCAGCTGGGTGGTGGCCACACTTGGGCAGGGAACCCTGGCAACCTGAGCCCAGCCCTGCTAGGGGGTCCTGGAGAGGAGGAACACGGTGTCGACAGGGTGGTGATTAGCTTCACTGCCTTAATTGGGCACTCTCAAATAGGGGTTCATTTGTTCTGCTTGGGGACATCACTGAAAGGCCACGCAGGAGGGGGCAGCGGGGCTGGCACTGTCTGAAACTAAGAGCCTCTCTGCTCATTTTAGGAGCATCCTGCTGTGCCTGTAAAGAGGATGTTCATCTGGCCCAGGGAAATTAAATCATTTGTCCATTCACTGAGTGCACGGCCTCGGATAGCCCAGGAATAGAACAAATTGCTCCTGGCAGCTGCTCACGAGCCCTGCTGCTGTAGTAGGACATCAGCTTGGCAAACGTGGGGAAAATGTCCCTGTGCTCATGGGGTTCTGGCATCTCCAGTTGGTCTTGGCTGGCATCTTTGATCAGAGGACCCTATTCCTCCTTTGCTTTAATCCATTAAAATAACAGCAGTGTAATAAATGTAATAATTCTCAGCCTTGTGGGGGGACAAATCTCAGAAAAGGCTGTGGAATGTAGTGGTTTGGTCTTCTCAGGAGCAGCTTTTGCTTTCTGTCAGGGTGCATTTGCTTGGAGCATTCAGGTTCTTGCATTTTTATGTTGGAAATGTGTCAGTGATCTCTGAGAGTATGTGCATGGGAGTGTAAAATATCTCTTCCAGATAAAATCATCCTCTCTCTGTTACTGGAACACAATTCTACGGGAGCTGAATCAGTCTTAGAGATGAGTTAAAGGCTCTAAGCCATTAATTCTTCAAATATGTTTTTTTTTGATATGAGTCACTTGGAAAAAACTTTAAATAGCATATCTTGATCTTTTTTGAAATAAGTTTTTAACCAGACAATCTGCAGTATTTTCTCTTTGGCAAATTCTGAAATCTGCCCCTTTTAATTAAGCTGAGGGTGTCTCTTAGGATGATTTTTGAAAACTTATCTTTCCTGCTTTTTAGAAAGAGCTGATTGATCTTCTTCCAAAGTCCTGAAGCAAGTTTTTTTGCTTTTAAAATACACAGACAAATGTTGGTGCAGTTGAGGCTTTATGAAAGCTTGACATTTGACCTGACATTTACTTTGGTGTTCAATGAAACTTGCTGTGTTCCTTGAACTGTATCTTTTGCCAGCAGAAAAGTTTGAACATCTTTGGTCCCTGGCACTGGAGAGCTAATAAACAAATCTCAGCAGTGTGCTTGTTCTTATTAAAGAGCCCCCATGGTTTCTGTGTGCATGGTTGGGTTTTGGGTCCCTGAGGTGTCTGTGAGGCTGCCCAGGGCAGTGTCCTGTGGTGATCCAGATGTCCTGCTCCAGAGCAATGGGAGTGGCTCTCCCTGATGCTTCTTTTGGTTTCACTTTCTTTTTAATTTTTTTTCTTTTTTGTTTACACTGCTTACTTCCTGTACGTGTTCCAGCTTTGGAGCCTGAAAGCCCCATGAAGTCACTTGCACTTCCAGCACTTCCAGAGCCTTTTTTTCCCTTCTTGCCTCAGTGGTGCCACATGGGCAGGTTTAGCTCTGTAAAAATCAAGGGTTTATGCTGGGGTGTTGAAAGCTGTGGTCACCTGGCCTAAAGTCTCAATGAGGGTTTGTGACAGACCCTGCACTGAGGCTGAGCTGGGTTTGGCTGTGTCCCTGCAGCAAGAAGAATTCCTCACCAGAGTGTGCAGAGCTGGGGAAGAGCCAAGTGCCAGCGCAGCTCCATGGCCATGGACACCTCTGGCAGTTGGTGTGGCACAGAATGAGTTCAGTGTTCCTCAGGGACAGAAAAGCTGTTTGTGTCATTGCCTGGTACCAGTCCCTTGAATGCTGAACATTTAACACGAGGAATTCTTTCTGATTTTTCTTCTTTTAACCCAGCACACTAAGCTAATTGGATGATGAGTGTAACGGAGTTGGGAAGTTGTCTCCCTCCCTGGGACATGTGCTGAGTGATGTTCTGCTCAGCCTTGTGGCTTCGCTTATGGCTGAGAATATTCCACTCGCTCAGCAAAGTGAAAGAATTGGCTGGTTTGTGGCATTAACCTTTGTCTCAGCACAAAGCTGGAGGCTGCTCAGTATGCAGGCTGGATCTGAGCTGTGTGCAGCTTGGCTGCTGCTCAGCCTCTGCAGGAAGGAGAGTGCAGCCCCCCAAAGGCTGCTGTGGGGGCAGAGAGCTTTGTGTGCTGTCAGGGGACACGGGGGTGGTGACAGCCACTGGCCAGGAGCAGGCAGGGTGTAATGTTAGCCAAGGCTTCACACTGCAGGGGTTGTAAATAGTGAATGATGTGTTTTTCAAAGGGAAAGTCAGTGTGTGTAAGTGTGCTTGTGTATAGAGATATATGTGCATGCATGCACACCTTGACAGGAGCTGACAGGGTGCTGTGGGAAGGATCCTGCCACACTTCCCTGCTCTGTGCCCTCCTTCAGACATCACCCTCTGCTCACCAGAGAGCCAGGATGCTGGGCTCTCCAGACTGCTGGTTTAGCCCAATTCAGCCTGTTTTATCATGCCAGCCCGTCTAAGAAGGGTGGTAGGGAGGAGGGAACAAAGGTGAAGGAGACTGTCCCTTGGAAGGAAAAGCTCTGAGAAGGTCTCCAGTCAGGCACATGGGGTTGTCTCCTGAGATCTACCATTCTCTTGGGGTTGGCTTTAGACAAGGACAGCCCTCCTTGGCTTGTCTTGTTTGCCTTTGCTGTCAGGGTTTGAGGGGTCAGCAGAACAGGGACCTGCCTCAAAGTGCTGCTCCTTTCTCAGGTGGGAGCCTTTAGCTCTGAGTGATTTCACAGGCTCTCAGACCAGGGAGGTGGAGATATTGACCTGCTGTCAGTTGTGTGTAAAGAGCCAATGCTCCCACCAAAGTAATGAGGCCACGTGTGTGCCTTAGGCACCTGTTGGCCTGGTTAAACACAGCACAGAGCTGAGTGCCTCTGGTTTGACATTACCTATGGAGCTGGTGCTTCTGCCAGGAAGGTTTAATAATGCATTCCATATGTTTCAGTGGCAATAAATAGACTATTTCTGAAATGGAAAGCAGCTTCAGTAAAGCTTTGAAAGCTGTGCAGGGAGATTTAATAGCCCTTTTCTACTTGCCTCTAAAGAAGATACAAGTCATGTATTGTGTGCTTGCCTTTTTCAGATGGGACATTGAAGGCTAAACTTCTTTTTCTTGGTATGAATGTTAAAAAAAATCCATGGTACTCTTGTAGTTCCCAGTGTTGAAGTCCATTTTTATTCAGTGAGGCAATTATGTTCTGGCTTGAACATAATACTGCTTTCCTGGCCTGAAGCCTGTAAGACTGGGCTTTGTCCTCAGGTGTTTGGCACTTCATTCTTTTCTTCCCTGCTGGCTGAAATGTGGGCTGAGTTGGCTTTCAACATACATGCAGAAGTAGCTGCAGTTTTTGATGTACTTCATGTGGAGAACCTAAACTGACTGACTGACTTGTGAGTGGCTCCATGCTTAATACCCTGTGCTGCAGTTTTAGGATGCTTGTTTTTTAAAGTGCCATTGAATCAAACTTTCTGCTCCTTTTTTTTTTTGTCCCTGTTTTTAGCATTAAGCAGAGTTCCCGTTCCTCTGAGGCAGCTGAAGATGAAAAGGACCAGAGGACAGTGACAGTCAATCCCTCTCACATGAGAAAGGCTTTCAAGGTCATGAATGAATTACGGAGGTACACTTTTGACTTACTGGGCTTCCTCTCTGGTTTAGCAGAATTGTGCTGATTGAGGGACATAGAAAATAGTCTCTGCCATTTTTATTACAGCTAATGGTTGCATGTGGAGGATTAATCACAAATAATGATTAATCCTAAAAATCCTTTTGTGATGGGCTGCTCTCCCCAGTCTCAGACCTCTGTCTTCCCAAAAACATTATCTAAGTCATGGCCTTAATTTATAGATGATAATTCATTTAGTCTTTTCCATTACTTACAGCAAATTAAGCTGTAAACTATGTCCTTAACTGAGATAAGGGTCTGAAACCCAATAATAGAACATTACAGACATTAAGACACCTACACATAATTACAGACCAAAGATTATTAATGTACTGTTCTTAGCCTCTTTAACTAGCGGCATCACTCAGTCTGGGCTCAGCACTCCAAAGTAAGGGGTGAAACAAAGCAAGTACTCAGGAAGAATGTCAGCTCTCTTCTTGCAAATTGAAAAATCCCCATATTAGTTAAAAGAGAACACCTTGGTCTTTACACAGCTCTATGGGTACAGGGAGAACAGAGGCTGAAAAAAAATCTCTGAACACAGCCTTGAAAACTGCTGTCATCACATCAGCAAGGTGGTGGCAGTGGTTCAGCCTCAATTGTTTCTTGGTGGCTCTTATCCCACTAACCAGACAGAAGTTCAGTGAGCATTTCTCTGACTAATTCATTAGACTTTTCACCTTTCTAGTTTTAAAAAGAATTCTTATGTAAAGTATGTGTGTCACACTCATGAATGTACGTGCTCCCTAACTGCTGAGGGGATGTGATGAAAGCAGGTAACAAACACCCTCTGCTCTTCTGCACACTCCAAGTAATCAAAAGATGCTCTAATAGCTGACTCTCCATGGATTAAGTAGTTTCCTAATACACACTTCTGTAGTGTGGAGAGGGATTGGAAATGTTTCCTTCCCCAGATATCTGACAGCAATTCTCTGTTGCATAGGAACAAAATGGAAATATTGTAACTATTATATGAAGCAGGGTATGTTGTAATTTTTTTTTTTTAAACTTTTAACTGACATCCTTCTGGTCCTTTCTTTGTACTGAAAGCAAAGGATCTGAAGCTAAAGTTTGGTGCAGCTATATTCAGAAATCTATTGTGCTACCATTATTCCTTTGTTAATTGAAGCAGAGTGGGAGTAACTGGAGACAATGTTTCTTAGTGCCTGTGGTTAGGTATCTTGTGCAATACTGAAAAGATAAAATATAGAAGAATGAAAGCTGCCATTAAGCACCTGTATGATGTTTGCATCTTCTGAGTACTGGTTTTTTGTTTTTTGGAGGTTTTTTTTTTTTATTTGTTTTTTTTTTTTTTTTGTTGGCTCCTGTTGCTGTTGTGGAATATACAGTTTTCACATTTCTTAAATGTGCACTGAGGTTGGGATCTGTTAAGCTCTCAGAAGTCAGTGTTAATAGATGCCTTGAATAATAGTTTCTCCCTTCACATGCATCCAGAAATCTTATTCAGAGGGTCTAGAAAAATCATGCTAAACCTTTAACCTATATACTATATAGAATCATGGAATTGTTTAGGTTGGAAACACCTCTAAGATCATTGAGTCCAACCCTTAACCCAGCACTGCCAAGGCCATCACTAAACCATGTCCCTTAGGCTTTTAGTTGGCAAGTGTAGATGAAATTAATTTTATGAGTGGTACTTTAGATTACTATAGCCCAAAATGGAATTGAGCAGAGCACCTTTTACATAAGCTAAAAGAAATGAGGAAGCTTCCATTAAGAGGCTCTTAAAGAGGTCCCATCATTGCCCCTCCCCTTTCCAAACTGGAATGAATGTAGGGTACAGACTGCCAGTTCCTACTTTCTTCTGTGTTCCAACTATAACCCTCCATTTCACAGCTGTTTTATCACATATTTCAATATATGGAGAAGAAGAGACATAGCTGGTCCATTAGAAGCTCTGTGTATGTTTATTTGATAATGCAGTTTCCTAAAGACAAAGTTCAGTGTGGAGATAAGTATTTCCAAAGAGAAGGCAACATCTAGATTTACAGGACAGATCCTTTTTTTGGGCTTGACATTTGAAAAGAACACCCTTAGTTTGCATTTGTATGCTTAAGCATCTTAAACCAACTTATTGGGAGGCTGAGCACTTCTTGCTGTCGGCATCTGCGGAGCTCTGTGCAAACATTAACTAATGAATCCTCAAAGGACAGACGTGGGGCAGGCAGAAAAGGTCAGTCCTTAATGAAGTGACTTTTCCAAAGCTCTACAATGAGTCAGTGGGGGAGCTTACAAGGTATTTTTTTTTGGTTTCTGTCTGGAACCCTGTTCTTTATCCCAGTGACTCTTAATCCCAGACTAATTCATGAGGTAAATGAAGTCCTCAGGCCCATGGATAAACTTCAGTGATTGATACCTCTGCTCTGGCAGATCGCTGAGGCAGCCTCTCACAATTATTTTATTTCTAATTTTTGGACATATTTTGGACATATTTTGGGCATATTTTTGGACATATTTTCCATTGTGGCAAGCATGGAAGGGAGTACAGAAATCACTTCACTTTCCACTCCAGCTTTTCCCTGTGGAAAGACAGAAGTGGTGCTGGTGCATGGCTATTTCTTGTCTTACAGATCTACTAGAGCCTGACCAAATCTTGTAGTCGGTAGTGCCCAAATCTTTAAGCTCTTCTGTGCCTCCTCCAAGCCCTGCTTGTTTGAGAGGTGAAGGAGCTGCTTGTCCTTTGTTCTTTGAGCAGCATGTATGCCTCATTTGGCTTCCAGGTTTTTTCCCCTGAGGAAAGCAGAAGCACAGGCAGGGCTGCAGCCTCAGGAGGATTCAGGCTTTGCTGTGTAGGCAAACAGTGACAGGAGCTGGTACTGAAGCATTAGAGAACCTTCCCCTGGGTTTTGGCAGAAGCTCAGGTGCTGTGTCTGTAATGGTGGGTCTTCCATTCTTTTGGGGCTGTGGTGATGTAGCTTTTAGCCTGACACCGAGTTCTGAAATGATCTTTGTCCTCTGTGGTGTCTCCCCAGCAAGCGGCTCCTGTGCGATGTGGTGATTGTGGCCGAGACCGTGGAGATGGAAGCTCACCGGGTGGTGCTGGCAGCCTGCAGCCCCTATTTCTGTGCCATGTTTACAGGTACTGCTTGTGACACCAGAGAGTGTGGGCTGAACAGGCCATTGCTGTGCTCAGCCCTCTGTCAGGAACTGCAGCACAGGCTGATGAGGTTTCCTTGAGAGAGAAGGGGGACAGATGAGTTTGCTGTACTTGATGGGTGATGCTGGCCACCCTTTACTAATTCCTGTGGGGTGAGTATATAGCACTGTGAGGTTCCTGTGGAGTTTGGCTCACTGCTTTGTGTGTTAGTTTTTTTCCCCCCTAACAAGACCTTGGATCATGAAAACATTACCACTGAGCACGTGTTCAGTGCCCTAAATGTTCATGGTGCACATCAAAGAAGTTGCTGGCACAGGAGTTGTAGTTTCAAGGCTCAGTCCTGCCGATACTGATTTGGCAGTCACAGATGTTTAATCTCCCATGGCACTTTTTTCTGCTGCCTGAAATAACACCGTTGTTCTCTTGATCCCAGTGTGTTTTAGCAGCCCAGCTTTTTAACAGGGTGAGTTGCTGCAGCCCAGTGTGTTTTGGTAATGACAGAAAGGAAGAAGAGGACAAAATTCCTACTCTGATCACCTGATCCTTGGAGCAGGTGCCCTTCAAAGGCTGTGCCCAGATGGGTCAGCAAAAAAAACCCAAAGAAAGCTAGGTCAGTCCTGAGGGAGGGGAGTGAACAGCTTATTAAAGTCATTCTAGTAAAATTAGTGTGGTCAGAAACTCCTGAGCTTCATTCCCTTCTTTGCCCTCATTTTCAGGATAGGAACTGACAAATACAATGAAAATGATTGTACACCCCAGGGAATGGTTTTTACTGCCCCTGAGCTCCAACATAAATGAAGTTCAGGGTTTTTTTCCCTGTTTCATGTTCATTTGCTTGTGGTCTGGGCCTTGTTTCTTCCTTTTAAAAGCCTTGAGATTAGACCTAGTTTAATTCATTTTGCTGGAAGCAGAATGCAGCATTTCTCAGGAAAGAGCTTGTTGTTAGTGAAGCTTTTTTCCTTTCTGTGATGGAGGTGGGGAGAAAACCTCAGGTGTGAGATGTGACACTGCCCATGGTGGCTTTATCAGTGTGGTGAGCTAAGGTGGGGAGCATTTGTGTTTTCTGGTACTGGCTGCATGGTGAGGCAGAGGAGCAAGCGCTGCTCAGAAACAGCTGTGTGTGTGGGCAACTTGTGGTGCTTGTTCCTGATGAAGAGTGTAATAAAGAAAAACCCTTGGAAAAACCCTCTGATCCTTAGAGGTCATCTGAGTGGGAAGGTGGTGGTGCAGGGCTGCTCATGTTTCCATGCAGGAATTCTCTGGGCCGTGTAATCCCTCACTCTGTGAGTTAAACAGTAATCAGCTCACCCATCATGTGGCTGCCCTGGGCTGGGTGACAGCCTGGCAGCCGCCTGTCCCCTCCCCCTGACGAGTCCCCGGGGCCAGAGGGTCAGGCAAAGAGCAGCTCTGCCTTTGCTTTCAGTCTGGCTAGCCCCAAATTCCCAAGGATGTCTCGTGTGATCACACAGAGTGTGTGATCTCCTTCCAGCTGCAAGGGGACAGTTTAAAATCACACTTTCAGCACCAGCTGGGTGTTGTAATTTGGTTTTTTGCACTGCACAGCAGTGATAGAGCCAAGTGCTCAGGTTCAGCTGCTCTGTAGGGGTATTTGCAGGAGCTGCTTGTGCACACTGAATTCCCTCTGGAGGATCCCCCAGCAGTGAGCAGTGAGTGATCAGTGTGGAGCTGTGAGCACTGGGAACCACACTGGGACCCACAGCTCACCCACCTTCACCACTGCTTGCTCTGCAGGCTCTGTCAGTGTCAGCTGCCCTGACTTTGGGGCCATGAATGACCTTGTGATGACCCTGGGGTCTTTCCTAAGCCATGTGTGTCCTTTGGTTAGCCACTCCTCTCTGAAGTATTCCTGGAAAGTCTGAAATTGGGTAGGCACATTTTCCATTTGTATCTTCCACCGCTGAAGGCGAGATGGGACCAGTACTTCCTGAGTGTCCCTTTCCATGCTGGCTTTCTAGAGCATTGGGAGGTCCAATTCTAGAGCATTTGGTTGCTGGTCCTTATTGGCACTATGCTGTGGGGATGATTTGGGACAGTGATGTCTGTCCATTTAGAAGAAAACAAAATCATTTCAGAAAGGGTGACAAATACTCCAGTGACACTGCTAGGACTGCTTCTGTCAGATACCTTAGGAATTTTGGAAGTGCTGAAGGAGGAAGCAGAAACCTCCCTTGCAGGTTTTATTTGCTGCTTCAAAGCACTCACCCCATGTGTGAGAAGCTGTGGTTTTGTTATCCAGTGCACTCATGCACTCACATCTGTGACTTAGGAAACAGCCAAAGCTGTGGCTTTGCACTGGGAAATGCAATGTGTAGGAGCAGGGCAGGCTGCTGTGCTGGGTAAACACAGCACTGTGGGCTGCTGCAGTTTGGAGTGTGGTTCATCCTGTGACAAAACAGAGCTCTGCTCTCTTCTTGCCCTGATGAACAGAGGGGAGTGGAAAGGGCACTGCTGATGTTGAGTGTGGTGCAGGAAAGGATTGCCTCCAAGAGGGGCTGGTGTGTGCTAAGTCTGTCCCCTACAGAGGTTTGCTCAGAGCCACCCTGCCTGATTTGCCTGCCTTTGCTCCCTCTCACCTCATCCCTGGTGTGTGCCTGGCTGCAGTGTGCAGGGATGGGGTCTGTGCAGTGCATCCTGTGAGGCAGCCCTTCCTCACGTGTGAGAGGTGCTAGTGATTGGAATTAGTCTGTAATTATGGTGTCAGCTAGGGCTGGAGTCTGACTTACGAAAGACACCCTAGGAGTTGTGTTTTGTGGGGTTTAAGGTGTAGGGTTTTTTTTCTGAAGAGATGTGAGATGAGATGCCCTCAGTGCTCCAGCATCCAGCTGCCCACAGGCTGCTCCCCAGGCTTGCCCTGGGTCTGTTGCCTGCTCCTGGTCTGCACCAACCCCTGCCTTGGTTCCCTTGTGGTGTCTCCAGGCTCTTTCCCATTCCCCAGCCCTGGAGACTTGTCCCCCTGTGACAGTGGGAGTGGCTGGATGGCTCTGGGTTGGCTCCTGTCCAAAGGTGGGCACAGCACACGGGACCCTCCCGGGCTGGTCCTGCAGCACAGCCAGAGGAGGCTGTTGGTATGCAGGGCTGGCAGCTTGCTGGTGGGTGGGGAAGCCCACACAGCTTTTATTTTTGTTGCTTGTGTCACATGGATGCCACCAGGAGAGATGATGTTATCAGATTGGTCCCTGCAGCTATTTCTGCATTGATCTCTGGGTGTGTGTGGCTGAGCACCTCCCCACACCGAGGGTCCTGCCGGGCTGGGGGTCCCACTCACCCTCCCCATGCAGGGGGGTCACTGAGTGCTCCTCACAGGCACCTCCAGCACCACAGGGCTGATAGGAACTGCTCTGTCCTCAGAAGCACCCTTTCATCTCTGGAGATGTATGGGGTTTTTTAGGGGGAGGAAGTATGTGAAGATGACATTTTGTCAATTAAAAAGTCCTACCTGCTTTGAAGGCCTCCCAAATGTAGGCCATTTATCCCTTTGTACTGGTACGTTTGTATTCATGAGCTTCTCTGAATAACATTTCATTATTCAATTTTAAAAACTGAATTTGGGGCAAATATTATTTCAATTCTCAGGACATTGTTGACTGTTCTAACACTCGTGGTCCCACCCCACTCCTATTATTCGCCTCCTTATTCACATAGGGAAAGTCAGCAAAGTTCAATTAGCAGGATCCAGGTTCTGCTCAAGCTTGGGCCCTCTTTAGCATCTGACTGTGCTGTGCACTTACTGTGCCTGGCCACGTCCTGTGGAATGCTGCACAGAGATGTAGGCTGTAATTACTTCTATAGGCTGCAGGAAATATTTTTCCACTTAATCCCACAGCAGTACTGAGTCACCAGATTTCTGAGAGTAGTGATTATTCATGCCCAGGTTGAAGAATTGACATTTCTTCGTGCTCTCCTTTGTTTAGCTTTGTTTTTCCACCTATCATTTTCTTTCCACTTGGGAGTTTGTTCTTTCTTTTCTGTGGAGGTCCTGGTGATTAACTCCTGGGTGAGGTCAGCATGTGTGGGGATGCTGGAAGGGCCTTGGGGAGTCCTTTCTCCTCCCCACTGGATGTTTTTGTTCCTCTGATGTGCTCCTGTTGCACGGGGAGTGTGGAGGTGTGCATAAAGCTCTGGGTCATGAATAGGCTCTTACACAGCTGTGGGGCTTTGCTTTGTGTATTCAGGGAGGAAATTATTGCTCTAGTTCCATGTACTTATGGGTTTGTGGAAGGGAAACAGTTTGGATCCAAAGGTGTGAGGTTGGGAAGGGGAGAGATGAGAACTGCATCTTTCAGTGTGGATGCTTTGCACAAGGTGTAAGTGATGGATAGCTTACAGCAGCGTAATTTAGGAGAGAAGCTTGCTGCATGCTGGGTTTAACTGCTCGTCTGTGTGCTTGTTCTTCTGAGCAGGTTTTAGCTTCTTTCTAAAGAAAGAGAATAACACTGCATTGCTTTTAATGTAGCGTATACCAAAAAAAATGCCCTACTGTCGCTGTTATAACATATTCATTCATATTAATTCATATTCATTTATTTTCACTCATATTCTTTTAGCTTCTTTCTAAAGAAAGATAATAACACTGCTTTGCTTTTAATATAGGGTATACAGAAAAAAACCCCAAATGTTGCTGTTGTAACATATCAATTCATATTCATTCATGTTCATTCACATTCATTCATATTCATTCTGTCCATATGTATATATATTTAAAACATTAATAAACAGATATAAAACTCTATTTCTCAAAGGCCTTTGTAAGACACATCCACAGTCTCTTTGAGTCTGTCCCTGTTCTGAGACATGATTGAGGGACATACTGGGGGTTTATTTTTAGATCTTATATTTGTTTGAACACAGGTGAACCATGGCAGGTTCTTTTCTGTCAAGAAACTGAGTTTTTTGCATGTATTGATTTATGTTTACACCAGTGTCCTCAATCTTGAGTTGTTTCTTAGGTGGCATTAGGAGGCTTCTGGGAATCTCACTGGTGGTTCCTCAATGGTGAGGGATAGTGCCAGCAGTCAGACAGCAGGAGAATGTGCTGGGTGTGTGGGGAGCAAGGTCCTGCAGAGCAAGCTGTAACTGTCCTTCTGAACTGAATTCCAGGAGACATGTCTGAAAGCAAGGCCAAGAAGATTGAGATCAAGGACGTGGATGGGCAGACCCTGAGGAAGCTGATTGATTACATCTACACGGCGGAGATCGAGGTCACCGAGGAGAACGTGCAGGTGGGTCTGCTCCAGCAGCTCCTCTGCAGAGCCCAGTGCAGAGCTTGGAACTCAGGGGCACAGGTTCTTCGGGGACCAGGGATCTCCTCAGGCTGTGGAAAGTAAAAGGTTGAGCTTGAAAAGAGCTGCTTCCATCCTGTGTTTAGTCTTGAGGCACTTTAGTGCTTTCCCCGCGCTTCAGTCGTGTTGCATTTGGCTTTTGTGTGGAGCTGTTGTAACAAGAGCAGGCATCAGCCTTCCAAGAAGCTGTGCTGACTTGTGGGTCAGTCTGTCGAAGGTCAGAATAGACTCAGACAAGCAGTGAGTCAAATGTTTTAAGGCCATGGCACAGGAATGTGGCTGTTAGTTTTGAAATTCTTCTGGGTAGTTTGAATTGTTTCACAGAGCTTTGAGTGGAATACATTGTTAAAACGAGGACATTCTTCCATTTTTTTTGTGTATGTGCTCTGCCTTGAATTTCTGAGAGGTAAATATTTGTTCACAAGTGGAAAGAGTAATTGAAAGGCAGCCTTCAAATAAAGCAGGGTGCTCAGGAAGAGTGTTTTGCAGTGTCACGTGGCTGTGGCTCTTTCTTTGACTCTGCTTGTATTTGTGGTAAGAAAAAGGCTCTGCACTTAGCCACTGATGTCTGGGAGGGATGCTGAGAGCTTGTGTGTGGACATGCTTTTCAGCTGGTCTGTTTTGTTTGCAAGTGGCAGTTTGAGCCTGTTGTCTTCCTCACTTTGCCTTGGACATTGCCAGGGGAGCAAGTCTGTGACAGGGACGCTGGGGAGAGTTTTGTTGACCTAATTAACACAGCAAAATTAGACTGGTTCTGCTTGAAACGAGGTTCTTGCTGTGAGCTCTTCTGCTCCAACCCCTCAGGCAGAGTGCAGTTCTTGCTGCCCTGTCCATGAGCTTGGCCAAACCCCTGAGCTATTCCCACTTTGCAGCGCAGCCCTGCACCATCCTTCATGACCCAAATCTGTGGGGGCCTTTTCTTGCCCCTTCTGCTCTCTGGGTTCACAGATGTGACTGTTTGGTGTGCTCTCAGCCTGGCAGTGTCACTCTGGTTGGGCTGTGGAGCCTGCCTGCCCTGCAGTGAGGGCCCTCACTGAGACCTTCAAGGTGCGTTATGGCAAAGGAGCTGAGACTCAAACCCAGCCCTGGGTGGCTTGGCCTGGCTGATGCTCTGTGACCCACATCAGGGTCATCAGGAGCTGGCACAACACCACTCACTGGGGGACTGGGGTGGAGCTCCTGGCACCTCTGGGATCTCCCATTGCTAGAGGAGAAATGACATTACACACCCTCAGGCTGTAAATTTCCCTGTTTCTGTGAGGGATATAGAGTCTGTATCCACGTGCTTTGTGAAAGGTTTGCTTTCCTCTCATGCTGCTGGGATTTGGGTGCTCCAGAAGCTCCCACTTGGCATTTGGGATGTGCAGAGCTTGGGATCCCATCTGCTGAGCCTGCCTTGGCTGGGGCTGGGGCGATAACCACAGCTGCATTCCAGGTTTGGTGCTCCAGCTGCACTGGGGTGTGAGCAGTGCTGTGGGAGCTGGAACAGCTCCATCCTGACCAGAAGGTCTCTGAAAATCCAGGTGTTGCCTTTCCTGAGCAACTAGACAACCATATTTTTTAGTAAAACATAACCAATGCCTTCTGTGGCCCAGGGATTACAGGGAGTTAAATCAGATCCCTGGCTCCATTTTGGCTTTCATCTCTCAGACAGTAAGTTAAGAAAATATAAGTTTTGAATACTAATTTTTTTTTCCGAGTCTAGTAAAGCAGGTCCTTTTACTGCAGGATTTATTTCAATGTCCACTCTGTATTAACTCTTCAGGCTAGAGGTAAATTAATTCATAGGAGCTAAGAAATGAAGCTGATCTACTGCAAGATTAACTGACTACTTTAAATTTTATTACATGTTTAAAGTGTTCATCCTGAAAATGTTTTATGGCATTTAATATAATTGTGTTATGAAACCAATAGAAAAAGAAATTTGTATCCTGTCCCTGGGTGTTTTACTCTGAACAAAATGCCATAAACAGGTTAATATTCACCTTTGGCCACAAGAAGAAAAGGTTTCTTAAGTGAAAATTCTGTTATTTATTGGAAAGTTTCACATGAAGTGAAGGCTAAAAACAACAAAAATTAAGCTTCTTGTAGTCTTTCATCTGAATTAGCAGTGTCAGTGTTAGAAAGAAGTGAGCAGGTTTGGTCCCTTGCATCTCCACATCCTCCTGCTGCACAGTTTTGGGTCATCCCTCCATCCCTCCATCCATCCCTCCCTCCATCCAATCCATCCAATCCATCCTTCCATCCATCCCTCCATCCATCCATCCAATCCATCCATCCATCATCCATCCCTCCATCCGTCCGTCCATCCATCCATCCGTCGTCCAGACACCTCAGCAGTGTCTCTCTGTGCTGTTTCAGCAATGTTTCTTTGCAGCCCTGCTTGGGCACAGTGAGAATTTCTCTTTTCCCAGCAGGTATCTCCTGAGCTCTCCCGTTTCCTTGTCACGTGTTCTGAATCTGTAATTGGCCAAGGGTGCTTTTTTAAAGGAGTTCTTCAGACTTTCTCAGTAGCCGGAAGAAGCAATTTCTGGGTACAGGTGCCAGGTGATGTCATTATAGAAATTATGAAAAGACAAAAAATTTGCTCAATGGCATTGACTGAGCAGATGTAGCCAAGGTATCAAAACTTGTGAATAAATGAAAAGACACTGTCTTGTCAGTGAGAAAAATAAGATGAGAGCAGGCTAGAAATGAGAAAAAGATGAACAGCAAAGGTAGCATGGAGTGCAGAATGAATGTTCCTAGGCTTGTTTGAATGCTGAGCAGTGCCCAGCCCTTCACAACAAGAAGCCTTTTAACAACCTCTTTTGTTGTTTCTTTCCTAATGGAAACCTGTTATTTTGGATTTTTTTTTTTGCTTTTATAGGCCTGGTATGGGCTCAGGAAGTGGGACAGTTTTTCTAAGCACATATTTCTGTAGCTACTGTGCAATGGAATGACACAGTGTCTTTTGTTTTGTTTTTTATGGAAGGATAGATATGTGTACCAGGGGCCAAGCCTGTGTGGCCAGTTCCAGTCATCATCTATGTAGTGAGTTCCTGGGGGTGGCCATCCAATTCCTTCTCAGATTATGTCCCAAATGTGCAGGCAAAGGGGATTTTCATCTCATCCTGAGCCCATGTGGAGGGAATACTCTCTTCTAACCCTGCTGGGGTACCTGGGTGAGAATTACCCCAGCAAATGCAATGTGCTTTATCTATTGGAGCTTCATTCTTGCAGTGGGATTTCAGGGCAGTAAAGGTGCAGCAGTAGGAGGGCTCAGGGCTGATGGATGATAGAGAAGTTTTACCTGTGAACATGTATTTGGGATTAAGCCTCCCACCTCTTTGGAAGGCATGGAGCAGAGACAGAATTTCTGTCTTTATTGCAGTCGTGTTGTAGTTTCAGGAAAATCCATCCTGGGATTTCTACACCTGCTGCCTTCTGTTGTTCCTCCTCTGTTGCATCCCACACCAAGGTTAGTTGTAAATTTTGATATGCATGATATAAAGACCTCATTCATTTGAAGATGGAGTGTGATACATTTATTTAGAAGGAAGCTGTGTCATGCAGTTTCTGTAAAAGGAAGGAAAACTAAAGTGAGTGTCTCAGGGAAATTCAAAGATGCTCAGGTTCCTGGGCTGATCTCAATGGAAATCATAAACACACATCAGAGCACAGGGTCGGCTGCTCCCTACATGTGTGGGGTAGCTGGTGATTTTAACACATTAATTACCTGAATTTTTCAATTAGATCTTGATTTTGCAGCTGAAGTGGTTACATTGCTGCCTGCTTTCCAACGCTCATATCAAACCTGCCAGCTCAGTGATGGAGAAGTGTCCTTGAGCAGAGCTGAATGAAGAGGTTTGGGAGCAGGCTCCTCCCTGTCCTGGGCAGGGAAAACACCTGCACCTCTGGCTCTGGACAGTGAATATCTTAGTGTATTCACTCCTCAGTGTGCCCCAACCAGCCTTACCTATGACACTTCATTACTAGCAGGCAGCCCGAGAATTACCCTCCGGATTAAGAAAGTCTTTATCATTGAGGTTGTAATGATTCCCTGGAAAAAGTCCTGATTAACCTGGTTTCACAATTAAATTGTTAGGAATGATGTGGTGTGGACCACATGTGGGGTGTCCTTGTGCACTGCCACAGTTTGAGATATGGCTCATACAGAGAGCAAATCTGAAACCAGCTGTCTGGAGGAAGTAGATATTGAACCTATCAGCTTTGCAGGCATAGTAATTGTCATAAAAAATGTCTCAAGAAAAGAGGAAAAGAGATTTGCTAGGAGCTGCAATATTTCTGTTTCAGAAGTGCTTCTGCATCTCAGCTTTTCCTGCACACTTATGAGTTCACAGCAAGGAAAGAGAGTTCTCTGGCAAGTGCAGTTTTGATGATAAAGGGTTTATAATGGATCAGTCCATCTCTCTTCCCCCTGTTCAGTCCCAAAGCTGCAGCTGTAGTAGGTGCAAGCCCAGGGTGGGGCAGAGCACCTTTCAGCAATAAATCAGGGCTGTTCTCCCTGGAGCCAAAGCTCCTTGTGCATCTCCCTGGGGTGCAGGGTCCCTGGGCCATTGCAGGGCTGACTCCTCTGGGCTGGGAGCCCTTCCTTAAACCCATAGGAAGACTTTAAATTGGCTCAGCCTTATAGAAAGCTGAGGAGAAACTTGTGGATGTGGCACCAGAGCACTGTGTTGTGCCTGATGCATGTCTTCACTTTTTTATTTCACTGTTTAACCAAGGCATGGTGTGTCTGAAGTTGGAGAAGGCAGCTCAGGAGGGAGGTTGCCTGTTGCTCCCCTGTTTTCTCTCTCATCTCTACATCCTTTGTCCATCTCCTGCTCCTGACAAGGTTTCTTGGCTCCCTGATGCTGTCACACCTTCCTCTGTCTGGGCTATTTCACCTCAGGTGGAGCATTTAAGTGGAAGCACAGTGATCAGCCCTGATGTGCTGCCTGGGAGCAGCTGGGCTGTAATAAAGCCTGATTGCCACCCTTGCACTCAGAAGCCACATTAAGCTAATGCCATTTTATCTCCACTATTTGTGCTGTTCAGAGCAGCTTGTTTAAAACTGAGCATTTTACCTGCCTTGCAAGCACAAAGTCCATTTGTCTCTCTGGGCAGGTGCCTGGGAGCTGTCTCCCTGTTTGGGCAGACGTGCAGTCCCAGCTGTGGCCCTGGATGTGCAGCTGAGGCTTACAGCCAGCACTTTTATTTGGCTTCCAATTTGATCAAATTGTCAAAGCTGCTTATAAGCTTTAACACATCCCCTGCCTAGGGGAAATGCTCCTTTCCCAGTTTGGCAGAGCAGGAATGATGTAAGTTAAGTTAACTTTTGGCCAAGGCTACCTGTAAGGCTCTGTCACAGTAGGGAATTAACCCCAGCCTCTGCAGTCCAGCATTAATGAATGAACCTTATATATACAGAGCACTTTTGGCTGAAAGGTGTTTCTAGTTTAGAGGCATCAAAGGTCTCTGGAAGTAATTGCCCAGGAAATGTTGTGTTAAACTTGAAATTTGTGTGGAGTCTGCAGAGCACAGCTGGTGAACTAGATGTTAATGTATATAGAAATATATAAAAATATCTCTAGACACACACCCATAGATGAAGCTCTGGACTTAAATTAAGCAAAGCAGTCAGTCTTAGTAGTGATAGCTGATAATTTTGGCATAGTTTCAAAAAATTGAGTGGGTTTTGATTTGGAGGCAGATCTGGTAGAGAAGCCAGCTCTCACAAAATTGTTCATGGCTGTTGAATGCAAATATTGACAGCCAAATCCAGACCCATGTGAGTGACTTGCCTGGATATTAATGGGGTTGCAGTTTGGTCCTGATGCATGTTTAGGCAGGGCATTTCCTCTTGTTATTTCTAGAGGAAACAGACTTTGTTCTCACGGAAATCCTTTGCTTGCTTTTTGCCTTCCATGGTAAAAACAAGATGAGTGTTGAGACGTTCAGCTGGGAAGTAAGAAAGAGAAAATCTCCTCATTTCTTGATAGGCTTTTTATATCCTATTTCTGAGAAGTGCTGTATGACAGTGCCCCTTTCCTGAAGGCTGAAGTGGTGTCAGGCCCCTTCTGCACTGCTTCTCGAGCCAGCACGGGCCGTGGCAGCAGCACTGGCTTGTCCAGGGGCTGGTGCATGTGGGGATGGTGGTGAGCCCACCTGGACTGGCAGGGATGCAGCCTGGATGGATGGGGGTGCACAGAGGAGGCTCTGGCTGGTCTGTACCCAGAGGTGGCTTGCATGGAGGCTGACTGGGCTACCCAAAGCCTTTATGTAGCTCAGGTGTTCAGAAATGGTTCAGCTAGAAAGAAAGTGGTTCACAGCCAGGTTTCAAAATCCTAGAGCACTGCTATCTTGACTTAATCAAAGCCACAAACTAATCTGCTCCTGGCATCAAGAGGCTTGGGCCAAAACAGGCTCCTGGGTTAATTGACTTCTCTCTTTATTGTTGCCTGCTGGGGTGGCTGCTTGGCAGGCACTGTACAGCTGGGCTGGAGTGGAACACAGCAGTTCCTTAGAAAGACCTGGAGCAGGCTGTGAGGGTCCTGCCCTGGTGTGAAATGGGACTGTGGTGGCAGGGACAGGGAGGGAACCTCTTTATCCCTTTGCTGCCATCAGGATCCAGGGAGGTGAATGCTGTTAACCTATTTGTTTTGTTTAACAGCTGCTTTATTTTTTGTGAGTTGGCAATAACTGTCCGGAAATGTGTGCTCAGATGGTGAGCACAGATGCCCAGTTGGAAGGACATGTGTGAGGCAGCCAGAGCTATGGAAGAGCTGGAGTAAGACACGTCTGCAGTTGCTGTTGGACATAAGAAAGGAAGTAGCTTATGTCACGGGCTGTAATGTCCTGATGGATTTTGTTTTCTACTTCCTGTCCTTCTCACTGGCCTCAAAGGTGTTTTTTTTCCCCAGTAGATGTCACATTCATCATCCATTTCTATCTCCTTTTTCTGTACTTAGTTTTGGAGGTACAAAGCAGTACCTCATTTTCAGATGCAGCCATGATCCACAAGTGTCCCCAGCATTTTGTGTAAGTGCAAATGAGAGCTGCTGATTTGAACAGTTGGACCTGTCTTTCCCAAGAGCCTTGCTGTCACCAAAACCTGCTTGTGCTTCTGGGAAACCCCTTTCTTACATGACTGTTTGGGCACCCTCCTCACAAGCCAATAAGCTTTTGTTGGAAGTAACCAAGTCCAGGATTTTGAGGACTGCTGGGCTGCTATGGGCTTTGAATCTGGTGGCAATAAATAATAAAAATCTGGCTTATAAATAATATAAAGCCCTTTGAGTGAAAAAAAAAAAAATCTTTGTGCAGGACCTACCTGCAGCAAAGCCAGAAATTCAGGAGCATCTGTGATTGCTTCTGCCTTGTCCTCACTTTGCCTTGAGGTCTTGTGGGGAGAAGCTGTGAGAAGAGTTCCACTTATAGCCCAGTGTAGGATAGCTGTTTTCATGTCTCAGAGCATGAACAGGATCTTCTGTGTATGGGTAGAGCCAAGACTTGAACCTTCCCTCTGATAACCCCACAGGGCCGTGTCCCTGTCTGGAAGGGAATTGCCTCCGATCTGTGCAGGCTGTGAACCACTCCTCGCTACTCACTTTCATTCCCCTCTCGTGCCTTCGCAGGTTTTGCTGCCAGCTGCCAGTTTACTGCAACTGATGGACGTCAGAAAGAACTGCTGTGACTTCCTGCAGTCCCAGCTGCACCCCACCAACTGCCTTGGCATCCGCGCCTTTGCCGACGTGCACGCCTGCAGCGAGCTGCTGCAGCAGGCCAACGCCTACGCAGGTCAGGGCACACGGGGGAGAGAGAGGGGGTCTGTGCAGCTCAGCCTGCCCCAGGCGCTGCAGCTTGGGGCTGAGCATGTCCTGCTTGGTGCCTCCACATTTCTGGTGTTGGAACAGGAAGGGAATGATTTGTTTAGTTCAGCGGTGCTGCGAGTTGTGAAATGCGGTTTGGTCGCAGGGGAGCACCTTGGGAGGTAAAAAAGGAGGAGCTGAGGAGGTAAATGGTTTGATCCTCTGGATCTCAGCTCACAAAACAGTTCCTGAGTGTGGTGCTAGCAAGCCCTTGGTGTGCCTGTTGAGCAGCTCAGTGTTGGTGCTGGTTCCCTGCCCTGGGAGAGCAGCAAACACTGCTGGGTGTTTCCATTGTGGGAATAAACAGCAATGGGCAAAGTCAAATCCTGGGGTGGGAGCTGGAACACTCAGCTGAAATTGCCATGAAGCCTGAGGCTCTGATCTGTGCAGCAATGGCCCCTTACCCCAAGGGAGCATAGATAGGCTCATGTTTCTCTGGGAGTGGATGTGTTTGGTTGCAATAAGCAGGTGCAGGCAATGGCTTTCAGCATTTCTCCTCTACATCATAAATGTAAAGCTTTTTTCAGCCAGCCCCAAGCTCTGATTTGTCCAGCACTTTCCAGTCTCCTCCAGCAGAGTTGCCCTTGACCTCTGCTTGGAAGAAGCTGATAGTTTTCTCCCAGTTTGTTTTTCTGTTTTCTGATAATTTGTATAGGGACACATACACCTGCTCTTTCCCAGAGCACCTGCTCTGTCCTGCAACATTTTCCTTTTTAACAGTTTTGCCCTTAATTGGACCCTAAGTAGGCTCAGTGGAATAAAAATGTATCCACTGAGTCCTCCCCTGTTCTCCTGCAAATAAAACTAAAACCTTTTCAGCTGCTCTGGCTGTATTATCCCTTGGAGAAAAAGGTACCCTGGAAGGAATGGTTAATTGTATAAAAGCTTGCTTGTAATATCTCATTATCCTTGTTTCCAGGCCCTGTTTAATCTTTAACCCAACAACCAGTGCATTCACTGTATATTTATTTGGTTGTTTGGCAATTAGAAGGTCTGCTTTGTTGTTTTATTGGCCTTCATAGGTCCCAGTTAGTACAGCAGCCCATGTAATGTTAATGGAACTCCATTAATAAAAATGCCATTAAAATTCTTTTCACTATGTTGTTTATGTAACAGCCTTAAACCAAGACAGAAGTCCCCAAGCTCAAGAGTCCATGCATTCATGAGCTCAGTTACTTGAGAAATGCTCAGTTCTGGCCAATGGATAACTTTAGTAGGTGAAGAAGTCTTCTTGATGCAGGCAGCAGTTCCTTTATTGAAATGAGGAAATATTCTTCCTTGCTTCCAACTAATAATGAGAGATCAAAAACCTTTCTGATGCCAGATGCAAGTCCAGAATGAATGAATATCAGATTTGGCTCAGAAGTCAGAGTGCATCCAGCTTATTGTGTGGGGAGTGTTTCCTGCCTCTTAAATATTTAAGGCCTAAAGAGCTCATTAGCTCATATGTATATTTCCAGTATTAATTTTATCCACATGCTGCTATTTCTAATCAGAGTCTTTGCCTTAGCTGTGAGGTTTTGTTTCTCAGTAGAGCAAGGAGGATCTGTGACTGGGGAGTCCAAGTCCAGGGTCCAACTCTGCAGCAGCAGCTTTGGTGAGGGGGGCTCCAAAAATCTCCTCTCTGCAAGTTATGCCAGCTCGTGTCCCTGTGGTGCTGCTTTTTGTCAGGCAAAGCACTTTGCAGATGTGAGAACTCGAGGCAGATCTTGCTGCAGAGAGAGCTTTTTGGATACAGGAGTCTGAGCTTCTCAAAGCTGCAGAATTAGAACTTGAAAGAAGCTGCTTCAGATAAAGTGTCTGAGATTCATGTTTCTGTAATTCAGCCAAAGATAAACGGGGCTTAGCAAGTGACAGGTGAGATTAAATTGGCAGTATATGTAAGAATTCTTGCAAAACTAAAATTGCTGCAGCTGGCTAAGGACATATTTGACCTAGAAATTATTTTTTAGGAAGTGATTATTTCGTGTGCCTTTTGGCTAGATATCAAAGCTTGACAGATTTGATGATGCTCAGTCATTATTCTTCCAGTTTGGGGTTATATTCATGCTTTTTGTTTCCAAGTGGCTCCCAGAGTTACAGTATGGAGGGATCTGGAGGTAAAAAAGGGAGAAATAGAAATTTGTACAATTAAGTGGAAAGGGGAAAACTACTGGGAAGGTGGATGCTGTGGTGGCCAGGTTATTCACTGCTTTGGACATTGGCCCCCCACTTCTAACTGTATCTGCCCCTGGAATATTCTCAGTGGCTTTTCAGAAAGTTTAGCAGCATTTATGAAAGTATTTCATGGGGCTGGTGCTGCTTGTAATAACATCAGGTTTCTCTATGCTGCTCTGGGGCTGGTTTGTGTCTGTGCTGCACTCACAGCTGCTGTGGGTCTGAATGCTCCTGCCACTGACTGAAAACTTGGATTTCATTATAATTTTCTGTTCCCCTTTTTTGTTTGTTGAACAGAGCAGCACTTCCCTGAGGTGATGCTAGGAGAAGAATTTCTTAGCCTTAGTCTGGACCAGGTTTGCAGTTTAATATCAAGTGACAAGCTCACAGTCTCCTCTGAAGAAAAGGTACAGTAAATTGTATAGCAAGAGTGAATGTAAGAATGCTGGAATGTTTCTAGATCTTACACCAGGAACTGTTATCATGATATGCTCCTTCGGGGCCATTCTCCAACAGAGGTCATATGGAAAGGAAAATTAAAATAATGTGAATCCTAAAAGCACATAAAAATGACCTTCACTTGGTTGTTCTTGCAGGAAGTTATGACTCTCAGATCCATATCAAGCTAAAAGCCCTGGGGCTCAGAACCAACTACTTTCCTTCTCTGGAAAACTAGGAAACTCCCATCTGCTGTCGTGTAAAGCATTTAATACCTGCTGTAAAACTTAAAAAAAAAAGTGAATTTCATTAGGCGGGGGAGGAATATTGGCTTCTGTTACATGTTGGCTAGAAAAACAAAAGGAAGCCCAGAACCAAAAGGAAGGAAGGAAATATTTTTCTAGTATCTTCAGTGTTTTTATTAAAAAAGGGGAGAAAGGCCTGGTTGATGCTGTTTTTGTGGTTGAAACGTTCAGCACATCTTGTGTAGTCTGGGCTCCTGGGGAGGGGGTGAGCAGGGTTTGTGGTGCTTGGTGAGCTCAGCCCCATTCTCTGGTCTGAGTTTCTTGTGTGACCTGCTGCAGGTTCTGGTGACAGGCACGTGCCTCCAGTCCTTCAGCTCGTCTCCAAATTGTCACTGTGGGGAGATTGTAAAGTCACAGAATCAGTAAGATCATTAAGGTTGGAAAAGAGATTTAAGATCATTGAGTCCAACCACTAACACAGCACTGCCAGGTCCACCACTAAACCATGTTCCTAAATGTAAATGGTCACTTGTGAGAGGCTACAGAAGAACTTGAGGGTTGTGTGGTTTGTAATTTCAGGGCTCTTAATGGATGCGTGCATTTGGATGGGCTGAGGCTGGAGCTGGGTGTGGTGATGCTGCACATCCTCATATGCTCTTCTCCTTCTCAGCCACTCTGGGCTGCAGACACACGAGTGTTTGGGCCCAGAGGGGCTGTAAAACTCTCCAGAAATCCTGCTCCGTGTGAGGTGTGGCCTCAGGGGTGCTCCCTGCTGATCCTGAGCCAGCAAACCCAGAGGCTCCAGAGGCGTGGGGCTGCGAGGTGCCCCTGGGGCAGGGCCAGCAAGGGAAACAGCAAATGGCACAAACTCACAGCCCAGTCCCTCTGCCTGAGCCAGGCAGCCTGCAAAGGGAAGTGCAGGGAAGTGCAAGTTTAGTAAGCAATTTTTTCCAGCTCTGTGCAGCATTGTTCAAAAGCTTTTATTGGCCTTGCGCCCAGGGGAATCAAAATGCTCCTTCCCTCATCTGAGCTTTACACAATCAAACCCAGTATTTCTTTAGCTGACTGTAAAAGAACTTGTAAAAGAAAAGATTGTTGAGAATGCAAGGCAGTGGAAGGAAATGTAAGCATAAGCTGCACGTTCAAAACAACAGACCTGAATAACAGGAGAGAGGCAGAAAATGGGAATGGAACATAAACATAAAATGTGCTGGAGTTCAAAGAAGTGCTGGAAATTGAGGACAGAAGTGCTGGAATTGGAGACTGCTGTTTCATGTTAACTTCATGACACACAAGCCATTTTCCTCACTTTTATTCTTCCTATCTGCTAATGTTTCAGTTATATATTATATAAAAGTCTATATGTGTGGATACCAGTTTATGCATACACACGTATATCTGTGTATATGCATGTGCAAAATATTTCAGAAATCTGGCAGCTTAATTGCCACAGCCAGATTTCACAAGGAGTTTTCTCGTTCCTCTCCTTGCTGTGTATCATACCAGAGCATTGCCATCCCTGGATCACTGGGAAGTGTTGGATCCGAGTCCTGCCAGGATCAGGGAGGGAGAATTGCCCCGGAATGCCTCAGGAATTTGTGTGTTCTCCCCTTCCTCTGCCACCCCACAACTAATACCAATTGCCCTAATAAAATATATCCTTATCTTCACCAATTTTGGCTTATTTATACCCCTAGGCCATCAGGAGGACAAAAATTCTCTGCTAGCACAGAAATCTATTTTAATTGTCAAGTGGTGACAGCATTTTCTCATCACTCATCTCCTTTCTCTTCTGTCACTCTTGTTGTACCAACCTCTGGAGTTACATAAGCCTTTTAAGAAAAGGGCAGAGGTTTGCTGTCCCTGCTTGCTCTTTTTGCTGTAGCCAGTTCAGTGCCTGGAAGACAGTTTTATTAATGTTTTCTGTACCTGACCTAATTGGCTCATTTTACTGTTTGCAAGCTAAAAACCATATAAAAATAATAATTATTTGTTATTTACTAAAGATGTAGGGGAGAGACTTGAGAATGGTCTCCTGCCAACTCAGAACAGTGGCTAAAGAAATTTTTTAGAGGGTTGGGATTTTTTGGATTGGGGATTCTACGCTGAGTCTGGTAATTGATTCATTGTCTCATGCTGCTGACATGCAGCAGAAGCTGATGCAAGGTTTGGCCCTCACTCTTGGGAGTCTCTAACAAATGGATTTTTGGCTGAAGAGACTGGGAAAACATCTGGGCTTGCTCTTTCCTTAGGCAGCATGCAGAGAGGGGATATTCCAGGCCCTTCTCCTCCACAGAGTGGGAAATTTACTTCTCCCAAGCTCGGGACTGCTCCTGCAGCCAGGCAGGTGCCAGCTGCCACTTCAGCCCGTGCCTCAGCTCTAAATCAAGCTGTGTGGGCAACTTCTGTGCCCATCCCAGCATGGCAGCAGGTCCTGCATGGCTGCAGGGTCCTGGGGGAGCAGCAGCAGCTGCTCGGGGTCTGCAGCGGGCACGGCAGGACTGCAAACAGATGTGGCCTTTAAATAGAGATATTGCTGTCTTGGGTTAAAGCCTTTTTCCCTTCTCTGAAATTAGGAATCAGAGCCAACAGAAGGTGCCAGAATCTGATTTTTTTTTTTTTTTAAATAGTTATTTTTAGAGTAGGCACAGCAGGGAAGCATCAGTGCTTGCCTGACTCAGGAGTGGACGCCAGCACCGAGGAAGCAGCTTATTCCTGGTGCACATTCCTGGTGCACACTTGCCTCACCTTCCTTTACACTTGCTCACTGTCCTCCTGACCTGTAGCTGGGTATGCCTCAGCCTTGTAACCCATTCTGCAGCTCAGAACTTTCTGCACACTCTCTTTGTGCAGAAGAGGTTAATGAAAAGCCTGTTTGTCGGCTAAACATTTGCTTTATCCTCCTTCCACATTCATTTGCAATTAAAAAAAATCTCACAACAACCCAGTTTCTACTTTAAAGGCCTCATAGCCAAAGTTAAAATGTTTGTTTGCTTATTTATTTTAATTTTAAAATACTTAAAGTCTCTGCAGTATTTCTTCTCCTCAGCATTTGCTGTGGTTTGATTACACCGCTCCCTGTTGGGTTGCTTAAATCCTCATTGCAGTGTCCTGAATTCCAAACAGTTCAGCAGGAACTTTGTTGGCACAGGAAATGAGGCTGGTGCTTTACTGCATTTTAAAAGTATATAGCTTAGCCTAAGAGGAAGAAACCCCTTTATTCTCTGCATCTCCTTCATCGCAGGATGTGTCTGCCAAGGCCCCCTGCAAGTACATTTGCCAGCAACAATTGGGGACTGAAAGATGGTGCCCTCATTTTTGGTTGATTTTGTCAAATTAGTGACCTTGGACCAAACAAAATGGTCTCTTGGGGAGTGATGGGCGGGATGGAAAGAAAGAAATAATTATCTGTGCAAATTGGCCTGACCATTTGGTGACCCTGGAAGGAAGCTGAAACCAAGGGTGCTTGCCTGGCATGCTGGAGGAAGGGCCAGGGATGCCTTTGGGGGAAGCATGGACAGATGGGGTCTCTGCTCAGCCCCCAAGTAACTGGGCAGTGAGAGGGCTTGGGCAGTGGTGCCTGTAGATGTGGTTTATGTGTCAGAATTTAATTCTGTCTCTGTGGGGAAGCTCCACTGCAGTGATCCAGATCCTGCTGTGCAACATCCGAGACTGCATCAGCCCCTCTTCCTGCCTTGCTGGATGTTTCAGGAAGCCTTTCCCACTGCTGGTGACATTTTTAGGCCTTTCTTTTGTGAGAGAGGCTCCCAGTTACATAAGCACATGCATATTCATCCAGGAGCCCACATAGGAGGCTTCTCCTGGGCCAGGGCTCTGCCCATGGGGCTGTTTGTGAGCACTTTGTCACGGGCTCCAGCTCTGGATGCTTATCTCAACCAGCTGGATCTGGAAGTAAAACTAGATTTTGGTTCAGACCAGAAGCCCAGTGTGTCCTTGTTCCCCAGCTGGAATATCTGAGTATTTTTAGCAGTGAAATGCAGGCAGTGCAGAGGCCCCATGGCTGCAGGCAGGGCTTGCCCTGTGTGTGTGTGGGGAACTTGTCCTCAAGACTTTTTGCTTTCTGGGGGCTGGTGGAACTGCTGCAGTGATTAAATATGAGTGTAGTGACTTTACTGTGTGGCCAGGCTCCTGGAGGAGGGAGATCTCTGTTATCAGGAGTAATTGTTGTGGCTGATTTCGTGAATAATGTCCAGTGCAAATGTCAGCAGGCTCATTAAGTTTCCTGGCTGCCTTCCAGTGCTCATGTCCGAGAGGTATATGATTGTTCTGGACATGCACTTAGCTCTGGGAGTGATACAGCACATCTAGATATGAGGCTGCTTGTTAACATGCATGGTCAGCTCAGCTCTTTGCTACAGTGCTGCTTGTGCTCTGTGCAGCCGCAGCTTTTTCATCTGTTTGATAGAGATCTTTCCCCCCCTTCCTCTGATGCTCTAAAATCACTATGCTGCTGATTTTGGGTGGGTGACTCTGTCTCTTCCCCATTTAATTGTATTTATCTGTGCAGGTGTTTGAAGCAGTTATCTCTTGGATCAATTATGAGAAGGAATCTCGCTTGGAGCACATGGCTAAGCTGATGGAGCACGTTCGCCTGCCCCTTTTGCCCAGGGATTACCTGGTACAGGTCAGTCTGCAAAGAAGGCATCAATGCCTGCACTTAAGCTGCTGGCTGCTCCTTAATCTGTGGCTAGGCTGTTTGTGTCTGAGATGGGTAATTTGGTCTCTTGCTAGTCTGTCAACAGAGTAATAAAAGCAAACAACTGAGTGGACTCTGAAATCAATGTGTGCCTCAGAAACCTTCTTGAAAATGGGACTTGTGCTCTGCCAGGCACTGCTGAGAGCAGAGCTGCTGTCCCTCAAGGGGAAACATTGATAAATGAATATCTTGTGATTTTTCACCCTGAAAATACTGAAGTGGTGGTGTTACAAGCTTGTGCGGCTTTTTTCTGTCATGCACAGGCAAAACATCATAATGGAAACACATAATGTGTGATAATTTTGGTTTGAGACGTGTGCTGTGCATGCATATGGGTCTGTGTGGCTGGCAGGGGAGGCACTCTCTGACTCAGTCTGACTTGGAGATTGTTCTTCATAAATGAATTCCTGGCATCTGGGCCTACATAATGAGCTGAGAATTCCCAAAGAAGGGGTTGGCATTTGGGCTCTTTGACTACGATGCTTTTATCATACATCTGAAAAAAATCAATACAATTGGTATAAAATTGGTATTCACAAGATGAACCCATCATGGTTTTGCTTTTCTTTCATCTGTATCTTCTAATGGAATAAAAGATACTGCCTCTCCTTAAAAATTCTGACTCAGATAAAAGAAATCACTTTGTATCCAGACTCCTGGTGAGTCAAGTGCATCAAGTGTTTGGCAGAGGGTGATAAAATACTCACTTCTTGTGAGTGATCTTGGGAAAAAATGAGAAACTTGGATGTTACTGCATGTGCTTCTTTGGGAGGAGCTGGAAATCTGTATTTGTCTCCTGATTTTTTTTTAATGTTGGTACATTTGAAGGGAAATTCCAGGTTACATGTTCTTTCCCCAAAGCTCCCTGTGACCTGTGCCAGTGTAAATGATCTTTGTTGTGTGTGCATGTTCTCAGACAGTCGAAGAAGAAGCTTTAATCAAGAATAACAACACCTGTAAAGACTTCCTTATTGAAGCCATGAAATATCATTTGCTTCCTCTGGATCAAAGGCAACTAATAAAGAATCCCAGGACAAAGCCAAGGACCCCCGTTAGCTTGCCAAAGGTAAGCTGAGCTTGTCACTTGGTGTCACCTCACCCCTGTTCCTGGTGGCATTTTCAGTCCTTTGACAGGAGATCCACAACTTGCTGTGTTACTCTTTACTGACTCAGTGGTTGTGCTTGGAAGTGTTTTACTCCCTCTTCTGGCACTGCCTGTGCCCAGCAAGGAGACATAATTAAGTCGAATAAGCTTAGATAAGCCCTTAGGGGAAGGAGTGTCTCTGCTCTTGAAGGGTTTTGTCAGCCACAAGTGGCTGCTGGAGTGCTGGGAGGGCTGCCTGAGGTGCTGCTGCCTGGTAAGGGCGTGTGGAGCCCTGCTGAGGAGGTCACAGTGGGTGTCTCTTCCTTTCCTGTATCCATAATCAGAAGCCAGGAAAGCAGGAAACAGCACCCAGCCCCGTGGGCAGGAAGTCTGAAGTGAATTTCAATGGACTCAAAGCAGCAACTGAATAAATAATCCTTGTAACTCCCCACGTTTATCCTGCAGGCGTGGGATGCTCCAGCACCACTTTATTAGTGAAGAAAAAAACGACCACAGGAGCTTTTCTGTGTGCCCCAGAGATAAACACAGCGTGGCACAGTCTCTCAGCAGACTGCCACTGAAGGTGCTAGTAAGCAATTGGAGATTCCAGGACATCAAAAGCACAGTGTGTTATTTTTCCAAGCACAAACAATAATGAGGTTGCTTTGTGGGATGGTCTGTGAGATCTGTGCTGTTTCTGATATTTGGATACTGGACTGTCCTTTGAGAAGCCGTGGTTTTGCAGCATGTGGCAGTGTGTGTCAGTGTCCTATCTGCCTGCTGTGGCTGAGATGAAGTTGGTAGAGCACAGCTTTGGGGCTATCATGGAGGGCTGACATGGCCCTTGTTCAAGGACTGAAGTTGTTAAGGATAAAAGGAACAGCAAATCAGTGAGTTCAGAGGTTCTCAACATCTTTTATAGCATGACATATGAGTACAAACCCGAATCCTTCTGCACGTTTCTCCTCCCTTCTTTTGAACTGTGAAGAAGGGGAAGGAGGTGATGATCTTTCAGCAATCCTGTTACTGAGAAACTTTCATCTGGCCTGTTGGTCCTGCTGATGAGGGATTATTGTCTGCTGTGGAATCCCTTAATTCTGTAATCGCGTGGAGCCCTGCAGCTTCCATGGGAGACTGTTACACAACTATAGTCAGGCTGTTAATTTAGACTTAATTTGGTTCCTAATATCATGTTCTCATCTTTGTAGATCAAACAGGCCACTATTTCCATGCTCTTCAAATTCTTTAAATTGTTGTATAGCTCTCTACTTTTAAAGCAACCTTGCTTGGAGTTGAGTTTATCTGAGTGACCCAAGTGACGATCTTACTCCTTCAGTTACTCCCAGCTGCCTTGCAGAGGCTAAAGCCAGTTTTCCAACCACTCTTTATCTATATTTGAATCCCCATTATCTTGTTTCTAGCTCCTTGGCCTTGTAAAAATCAGATTGTCTTGGGTGATGTTTGATTTGCTGTGCTAAGGGGAGCCAGTCCTCCCTCTTGATGGCTGTGGAGGGTTGAATGAAATGTGTGCTGAACCAAGTGCAGGTCCAGCTGCTTGCCAGTGCAGGTGTTTTGGGGGCTGGCTGCCAGTGCAGGTGTTGGTTTGCAGTGCCCAGCTGCGGCTCAGAGCCATGGGCACCCTCGAGTGCAGAGCTGCAGGCTCCTGGCACCTGTGTCCATGGGGAATTTGTCTTCTGGCAGCAGACAGGGCAGATTTGGGAAGGATCACACTGCACGCTGCCCAGATCTTCTGATCTTCTCACTTTCCCACCAGTGTGCACCCCTTGCTGTTGTTGGTAGTGGAGTCTGGGCTGGATGAACCCTTAGCCTGACCCACCAGAGTGGTTCTTCCACGCCTGAGGTTGCCCTTGACCACCTTGACATAGCCCTTCCCTACCTGCAAGGAATTCAGGGTTTAATTCCTGCATTTCCTGCAGTACCTGTGGCAGCCAAAAGCCTTAATGAAGCTGACAAATCACATCCTTCAGCAGCCCAGACCCCCCAGGTCGCGACAGTTGTGGTGATTTCCCCGAGTGTCGCCTTCCCCGCAGGTGACACTGCAGCTGTCACGGTTTATTTGCTGAGTGGCATTGATTATTTTTAGCACCACCATGGAGATAATGACTAAACAGTGGGCTGCCAGTGGAAATTATGCTGGAATCTTCTTCACTTAAAAATACTTTTGCAGTGAGTCTTGGGTATGCTGTGGTGCCAAAAGGTTTTGTATTTCAAGGGGAAATTGGGCAAGTTGCCCACCTTGGACACAGTGAGGAAGGGTAAATGGGGTGGCATTTAGCATGCATTAAATTGGAGAGAAATTTAGCATGCATTCATTTGGAGAGAAATTTTTCCCCCTTGAAATATAATTGCCTGAAAAAATTGTCCCTGTAGAGGCTTCTAGCTGACCTTCAGCACGTTTTGGCAGCTGCTCCTGATCGGGTTGTGTGATGGTTTCTCTGCAGAGAGCAGCTGCCCAGGGTCATGTCTGAGGTTTTCTAGCTCTCCTCTTTCCCCTGCAGGTGATGATTGTGGTGGGTGGGCAAGCACCCAAAGCCATTCGCAGTGTGGAGTGCTATGACTTTGAGGAGGAGCGGTGGGATCAGGTTGCTGAGCTTCCCTCACGGAGATGCAGAGCAGGTAAAGGGAACTTTTGCTGCCACCTTCTTTGTTTCCCTAATGCAGTTCTTCAGCACTGGATGGATGTCCTTAGTCCTCCCTTTAGCTTCCTCTGTGCCCCTGGCCTCAAGCAGCTCTTTCTTTTTGCCACGACTACTTCTTCTTTCCCTACAGACATCTTTCCCTTCTTGTTCAGGAGGATGTCCTGCTCTCTAGCGGGGCTGCTCCTGCCTGTCAGCCCTCTCAGTGTCTCCCCTTCCTCATCTCTCTCTCCTGGCTGTTCCTCCATCCATGTTTCCTCTCCTCCTCCCCTGTTGCTGTCTTGGCAGCCCACAGGGGTCCAGCTTTTCTTGCTGGTTTCCTTGTGAAAATCAAAGGAGCTGAGTCAATCCCTCTTGGTGCGGAGGAGTGGGTGATGGAGAGCAGATCTTTAAGCTGAAAACATCTGACAGGGCTGTGAATGTGGCTCACCATTTGGTGTTCCCTCTGGCTCACAGAATTACTCACTCAGGTGTGAGCTCCATCTGTGCCTTGTGCTGCCATGTTTTCATGTGCATTCCACCTCCCACATGACACGCATGTTTTATCACGCTCAGCGTTAACCGGCAGAAAGCGCCGATTGACATCGACCCGCGTTCCGCTCTCCCCAGCCGCCTTTCACACCCTGGTGGCAGCGTGTGGGCAGCTCCAGAGGGCTTGCTGTGACCCCCTCTCCCCTTTCCAGGCGTGGTGTTCATGGCTGGCAGTGTCTATGCCGTGGGGGGCTTCAATGGCTCGCTGCGGGTGCGCACGGTGGACGTGTACGACGGCGCCAAAGACCAGTGGACGTCCATCGCCAGCATGCAGGAGCGGCGCAGCACGCTGGGAGCTGCCGTGCTCAACGACCTCCTCTACGCCGTGGGAGGCTTTGATGGCAGCACTGGTAGGTGCTGGGCAAGCACCAGGCACTGCCTGGCCTGGCAAAAGGGTTTTTGGAGGCCCTGCAGAGATTGCAGAGCTTTAGAGTGGTTCTTGCGCTCTTCCCCTGGGGTTCTGTAGAGAGGGAGCCAGAAATGGGGTTTGGTGTGTGTTGTAACTATCCATGTGCACGTTCTGACCTGTCAGTAATTGCAGAGAATCTCACCCTTATTTTCTTTTCCTTATTGTTTTCCCTATTTCTCTGCAATAAACCAAAATTATTATATTGCAGAGAATCGCACCCTTTATTATTTTCTTTCTTCTTATTTTTAGAACTGTGATACAGTTCTTTCAGCCTCATTCTCTGTATGATTATGCTTTTTCTGGGCTGAAAAGGGATTTTTTTCCTTGTTTCAGTTAAATTTTTCATAGCAGCATGAAAAAAATACTAGCAAGGAATCTTACAGGGATTTGTCTTGGCATGGCTGCGTGTTTAGATTCACACCTCTGCCTCTGTTGTAAAGCTCTGCCACTTGGTTAAGCCCTGAACTAACTATTGCAGCAGGGGCTGGGGGAATTTTTAAACCTTTGCATGGATGTTTTGGAACGCTTGAAAGGATGTGGGGCTTTTGGGCTTGGAATTTGGACTCTGCTCACCTTGGTGGCCTCAGCACATTGGAGGGGCAGCAGTCCCAGGGCAGGGGTGATGGGGTAACAGTTTTCCCAGCCACTGAAGAAGTGGCATTGCCATGCTGGTCCCAGCCTGAAAGGCAGGGGGTCAGGAAGTGGGATTGCAGGAGCATGGTGGGAATTACGGGTTTGGGAGGAGGTGGAAGGCAGATGAAAGTGCAACACCAATCTTTTTTTCTTCTCTTTTTTTTTAATTAGAAAACCTGTGTATCCCCTTTTTAACTAGGTCTGGCATCAGTTGAGGCCTATAGCTATAAAACCAATGAGTGGTTTTTTGTGGCTCCCATGAACACAAGAAGAAGCAGTGTTGGAGTTGGAGTTGTGGAGGGTAAGAAAATGAGCAGCCATTTCCATCAAGCAAATGTTACTTGTCAAACAGAAGCCTGAATGGTTAAGTGCAGTAAGAGGGAACGGCAAGAACTGTTCCCTACCCCAGTTGGGAAAGATTGATTTTATATGATGTAATTGCTGCAAATTTTTCCATTCTCCTCTTTATCTTGGTGAAAAATCATGTGTAGATTTCCAAGAGCCTCAGACCTGTATCAGACTAGCCCATGCCTCCTATGAATGCAATCAGGTGTGTGCAGGTTTCTTTGAATCCTAATTCTGCTGGGCTGGTTCTGGCTGGTGAGAGCCAGCACTGCTGCGTGCTGTGTGATGCTGCTGCTGCTGGCAGACGCTGCGTGGATGGAATACCCATCATGGAAAATCTGCTCAGCCAGAGAAACAGCAACAGAGTTTGTCCCACAGCCCCAGGCTGGTGGTTTGGCAGGAATACTAAAACCTGTGTTTATTAACATCAGGCAGAGCTCTGCTGGGGTTCCTGAATGAGCAGGGGTGATGACAGCAAAGGCTGTGGCAGCTCAGAGTGGGGTGGGAGGCTGGGCAGGAGGGTGGCAGCTGCTGGCACCTCTGGGTAAGCACCAAACTTGGGGCAGCTGGAGCTGAGCAGCTTGGTTTGGACTCAGGAGAATGAGAAGTTTAAGTAGGAACCATTTTTTCCTTTATAAAATCTATTCTGAAGCAAGTGAAAGGCTTTATTTGAACTTGTCTTTAGTGTGGCATAGCACTTTCCTTAGTGCAGAGCAGCTTTGGCACAAGCCTTGTTATAAACGATATAAACTATCCTTTACAGTGCTTTGGTTGGACCTGTTTGAGTGGGAAGTACATGGAATATGTTAGTGCACATGAAATCTGTTTATGTGAGAAGAACAAGGGAGATAAAGTCAAAATAGTGGTCATTAACTTAAATTTGCATGTTTAAGAAGCACCTCCTTCAAAATTGACTCATGCTTGGGAAGTGCTGGGCTGCTGTCAGTCATTGGAATTTATTCAAGTGGCTTGAATGCAGAAAAATTATTAAATATGAACCTAAGAGATGCATTTCTATGGGCAGATTTTCTACTGGAGACTCATGAAATCCTTTTGCTTTACTTTTTTTGAAAACACAACTGTGTTGGAGTCCATGATAAAAATAATAAGGGCATGTCATGGGCACAAGAGCTGATCATACTCGTGTAGGAAACAAGCTGCAGCCTGCAGTTAATCCACAGGGTTCATCTGAATGTGACAAAAATTGATCTGATGATCAATTATATACTGAAAATACCTAATAACCTATGTCAGCCAGGGAAATTGATCTTGTCTTGCTTAGATTAGCACTCTTGCCTGATTCACTGACAAATACCAGGCAGAACCAACAGCACAAGTAAGAGTTTGAAATGTTCCTAGAGACAGGAAGATGCAGAAGGAGGTCATGAGTGGGCCTGAGGGAGAAAGAAAAGAGCCAGCCTGTTCTTGGAGCCTTGCAAGCATCCAGAAACAGGAGGATGCAAAAGCCTGAGGCTGAAGATAACTGCTGGTGGGAAGTCTTGTGCATGCAGAAAATTGCACAGCTCATTCATGGCCAGATTTTGCTGTCATTGATTGAGAATTTATATTATTTCTACGTTTTGTACAAAAATTTAGGTTAGAATTTTTCTACATATTTGTTGAGCTTATTTTATGATATGATATTATATTAAAGAATACTGTACTAAAACTTTACTAAAGAGTAGAGAAAGGATACAGACAGAAGGCTACAAAGAATAATGAAAACTCGTTACTGCTTCCAGAGTCCTGACCTAGCTGGCTGTGATTGGTCATAAAGTGAAAACAATTCACATGAAGCCAATCAAACAACTACCTGTTGGATATACAATCTCCAGACCACATTCCAAAGCAGCAAAACACAGCAGAAGCAAATGAGATAATATTGTTTTCATTTTTCTCTGAGGCTTCTCAGCTTCCCAGGAGAAGAAATCCTGGCAGAGGGATTTTTCAGAAAATATGACAGTGACAGGTTTAGGCATGTCCCCTAGAGTCACCTGAGGCAGGGCTGTGCCTGTGAGTGAGCCTGGCTGTGTAAGAGCCTGAATGAGAGATGTGGGACTCCAGGTAGCTCTTCAAAATGCAGTTTATTACGTCCAAGAGGTTACAGCAGTCCAGGGTCGTGGGCGACAGAGCTGTGCCTACAGCTGTCAGCTCCAGCTGCAGGCAGGCCTGGAGCTATTTTTGGTTACCTTGCATTATATACTTTTCTTTCCTGAGCATCTTAATACAGTAGAACCAATCGATACCTAAACTTTTATCTATAGCCTATCATAACTACTATAATTACCATATTCATGTTACTGTTCTCCAACGGCTAAAAGTATGTCACAGTTCAAGCCAGAAGTTGTTTTTCAGTTTTCTCGCAGTGGAAAATTCTGAGACCTTTTTTATACCTGCAACATTTGCTGACTTGTTTGCCTGTGCTATCTTTCTGCTTGGTGAAAACATCTTGTTTATCCTTTGCTGTAAGTCATAGAGGTGGGTTTATCCTTTGCTGTAAGTCATAGAGTTGGGTTTACCCTTTGCTCTAAGTCATAGAGGTGGGTTTGTCCTTTGCTTTAAGTCACAGAGTTGGGTTTATCCTTTGCTGTAAGTCATAGAGTTGGGTTTACCCTTTGCTGTAAGTCATAGAGATGGGTTTGTCCTTTGCTCTAAGTCATACAGGTGGGTTTATCCTTTTCTCCAAGCCATAGAGGGGGTTTATCTTTTTCTCTAAGCCATACAAACCCTTCCTAACTAACATACCCTTTGCCTCCTTGGTTATCCAGTAAGACCGTCTCAGCAATTCTTTCCTTCTACATCAAAACTTGCTTCCATCTCTATTCCTCCATGAGGCTCTACATTCACAAATCTTTTTGCTGAGCATGTCTGTGGGACTTTCTTGCCACGCTTCCCCCCTTGCCAGCCTGGGGAGCCGTCACCTTTCCCGTGTGTGTTGCAGGGAAGCTGTACGCGGTGGGCGGCTACGACGGCGCGTCGCGGCAGTGCCTGAGCACGGTGGAGCAGTACAACCCCGCCACCAACGAGTGGACCTACGTGGCTGACATGAGCACGCGGCGCAGCGGGGCAGGTACTGCTCAGCACGGGCCCCACCCTGGGCTTTGCAGGCAACCCCGAGATGAGAATCTCGACTCTTTCAGAAGGCTGATTTATTATTTTATGTTATATATTACGTTAAAAGAAAGTGATATAGTAAAATGACACTAAAAGAATAGAAGAAAGGATTTCATCAGGAAGGAATGGTAATAAAATCTTGTGACTGACCAGAGAGTCTGAGACAGCTGGACTGTGATTGGCTGTTAATTAAGAACAACTGTCGCAGACATCTTTTTGTGAGAAATCTTTCCTTAGGATTTTTTTCCTCCTGAGAAGCTGAGAGGCCTCAGGGATAAAATGTAAACAATGGTTATCTGCTGCTGTGGAATGCAACAGGTGGATTTTTGATTGGTCTCATGTGGATGTTTGGAATTAATGGCCAATCACAGCGCAGCTGGCTTGGACACAGTGTCCGAGCCACAAGCCTTTGTTATTCTTCTTTCCTTTCTATTCTTAGCTTAGCTAGCCTTCTGAGCTGAAACCTTTTCTTCTATTCTTTTAGTACAGTTTTAATGTAATATATATCATAAAATAATGAATCAAGCCTTCTGAAATATGGAGTCAAATCCTTGTCTCTTCCTTCAACATAAGACCCCTGTGACCACCATCACAAACAATCATGAGACCAATCAAAGATGCACCTGTTGCATTCCACAGCAGCAGATAACCACTGTTTACATTTAATTTCTGAGGCCTCTCAGCTTCTCAGGAGAAAAGACCCTAGCAAAAGGATTTTTCATAAAATATGTCCGTGACACACCGCCTGCTCTGCTCACACACAAGGACAAAACTGGGATTTGCCATTGCTGGGCTTGCAAGTGCAGCCTCTTGTGTGCCCCGCTTCCCGTGAGGGGTGAAAATGTAATGGCTTGGAATCTCTCAGCAGCTCTCATGGCTTGCTGTATTGCACTAAATAGTTATTTAGTAGTTTGCACTGGGTGTTTTGGTAGTTTGCACTGTTCACATGATTTGTATCCTGTGACTTTGTGGTTTTCCCTTTTCCCCCTCATTTGCACATTGTGTAGGATAATAAAATTAATCTCAGATTTTCCCTTCTTAGCCAGTTTTTAGTTGATTTTTTGCAAGAGTTGGCAAGAGTTGGTGATCTGGAGGATTAGAGGAAAGGACCTGTTGTAAAACGATTGGATTGTAGTCTTGATGGTTTCTAATTTCCTACATGATGTTGGGCCAGGCAGTAATTTGTCTTCTCTGTGATTGTTCCTGTCTGAAAGGGAGAAGAGCTCTCATCCACTGCATTTAAAATCATCTTCAGGTGAATGGGAACTTGTCATTGTTGATCTTACTGCTCAGTGTGTGCTGTGGGTCCTTCCTGGTATTAAATTGTGCAGGAACCCACAGGAAAGCCTGGGGGCTGCTCTTTGGGGCTGAAATGACCCTGCAGGTTATGCTGTGGTGGGAGTTCCCTTTTGAGCCGGGCAGGTTGAGGCTGCTCTCTACACCCTGCTCATTCCAGTATCTTTTCTGTAGCTCCAGGTGAGGTAAATATGGACACACTGTTGGTCTGAGTTCTGTGGAAAAGGTTTGTGGTGTCTGCTTGACGTTTAAACCTAGTGCAGTGCAGCCTTCCAGGAGAGCAGAATGAGTATCTCCTATTGTTGGCAGTGTGTTGAAACAGCAAGAATTCTGTGGCTGTAGTGTGAGATGGATTTTAGTGAGCTGTCTTTGTTGGAAACACTCTGAGTGCTGCTTTACAAGTGTTTCTCCATGTAGCCAAGTCCTTTGTTAGGAATGCTCATACTCCCCTGCCAAACTTGGCAGTTTTCTGTCCCCACCTGACAGCTGAGCTCCTCAGGCTCTGATTGTCCTGCAGAGGCCCCTGCAGCAGGGTTGGAGGGGACTGCCCAGTGCCACTGCCACCAGCAGTGCTGCAGCACAGTCTGCTGTCCAGCCCTAGCAATGACACCGTGCTCTGTCCCCATGCTGACATCTAGTGGGGCTGGGGACAGGTGTCCCCAAGTCCCTGGAGGCACTGGGGCTGAGGGGATCTGCAGGTTCTGCCCAGCTTTTGTAGAATCCTAATTTTTTTAGATTGGAAATGACCTTTAAGATCATCAGGTCCCACTGTTAACCCAGCGCTGCCATGTTCATGCTAAACCACATCCCCAGGTGCCACATCTGCACGTTTGTTGAACACTACCAGTGTTTTGCTGGACCACCTTTGTGGTTCACCTTCCCTGTCCCTGCATGCCCTGTCTCACTGCACAAGGAGGCAGTTTCATGGGAAAAAGCTTGAGCATTTCTGGCTCTTTTATTCTATTGCTTGCTAAATTAGTTTACTCATTAAATTATTTCTTACAAGTATAAGATTTCCACTAACAGCTAAATATAATCAAATGCCAAGGTGCTGCACAGCCAGGCTGCTGGGCTCAGATGCAGTTAAGTGATTTTCCATTTCCCAGTGACCTGGGAGACAGCTGCTCCAGCTCAGGAGCCAGGACACACATGTGGATGTGTTCTGCTCTTCCCAAGTCCTGCATGTTGGAGTACTTCAACCACACCAAGGATGTGGCCCAGTAAGGTGGATATTTATGGCAGTTAGAGATTAATTGTATGTTTGCCAGAGGTGAACCATGAGTCCCAATGTCATATTAGGATTTCAGCACCTCTTGGTACAGTGAGAGATGGCTGGCCCAAAACCAAACCCAGCAGTAGAAAGTTAAGATAATTTGGAGAGGGGAGAGGTGACAGTGGTAGATTTATGTACCTGTCCCCAGATGCCCCAGATGGGGATGCTCCTCATGGAGCTGCAGAGCCTCAGTGGTGCCTGTTCTCTGGCTCAGCAGCTGTTCCTGCCCTCTCCTTTCCTGACCAGGAGAGATCCTTGCACAGGGACCAAGTCAAAAACCTGTTGCTATCAGCCTGGCAGGGCCCCTCTCCTCCCTGCTCATGGTTGAAATGATGTGATTCAGATCTGTTTCTGTTTTACTAACATCCCACCTTGTTAATTTTAATATAGAGGCCTTTGAACCTATTAACGAAGATATGTTGCTGGAAGTTTTAACTCTCACGGATTGGTGAACATTTTAATTAACTAATTTACTTAATATTAGGCAGAAGTAGCTTTAAGATCCGGGTCATTCCAAGAGATTTGGCCAGGGGCCTTCAAAAATGGCTGAGAAGGTGGCATTGGAGGCATCTTGTCTGTGCCATGTGCTGCCAGGTTTTGGGGTGGGAGTGGGAGGAGAGGAACCAGGTGGCAGCTTCAAGAGCTGTAAATTGTTGAGGAGAGGAACATCATCCAAGGGATGAAGTCGTGTGTCACAATGGCAGCAGGAAAAACAAACGTCCTGAAAGGGGAATCAGGCTAAAAGCAGAGGGTCCCATGGCAGAAAATATCAGGCAGATGGAAACAATGTGGGGTGGGAAGCAGAGAGGAAGTGAGTACAGAGAGATGGAATAAAGGCGGAGGAATGTCATGGGACTAGACTGCTGGTCTTGGATAGCCTGACAGGCTCCTGGGAGGGGACATCTGCCAGGCACTACTGTGCAGGTTGCTGTGGTGCCAGGGGTGGATGGGGGCAGAGCTGACCATGTGCCTGCTGATCTTGGTGCACATGTGGCCCATGCTTCTGGAAGTGCCTTGGAGAGGCCAAGGCCATGCCCAGGGATGAAGCAGGGACGTGCAGCCCTGTCCCTGTGCTGTGGCTGACCTGGCTGTGCTTGGCAGGTGTTGGTGTGCTCAGTGGGCTGCTCTACGCCACCGGGGGCCACGACGGGCCCTTGGTGAGGAAGAGTGTGGAAGTCTACGACCCAGGGACAAACACCTGGAAGCAAGTAGCAGACATGAATATGTGCAGGAGAAATGCAGGTAACCATGATAAGCCTTTCTGTGGTAGTTGGCTCGTTTGTCTGTGTGTGGTTTTTAATGCAGTTGGTGTGCTTGTGGTGTATGTGATCAGTGTTGTAGAAGACAAAAATGGGAGTTGAGGGATCTGCTTGGGGGTGAATTGGAATGTGGCAGCAGCGTGCTGTGGGGGATGAGTTGGCTCCTGTCTCACCATCTGTGCTCTGCTTTGAGGGGTGTGTGCTGTGAATGGTCTCCTCTACGTGGTGGGAGGCGATGATGGTTCCTGCAACCTGGCCTCGGTGGAGTACTACAACCCCAGCACAGACAAGTGGACGTTGTTGCCAACCAGCATGAGCACAGGGAGGAGTTACGCAGGTAAAAGGCAGTGGGGGAGTGGGCAGCAGTGGGGTCATCCCTAAACTTGAGGGCTGTGCCCCCAGAAGCTTTAATTGTACTTTTGTTGTATGTTTTACGTTGATTTCAGTAGGAGGAACTTTCACAGAAGTGGTAGACACCTCCCTCGTTGCTGGCCTTTGGCTTTGCAGGATGATTGTAGCCATGTGGCAACCCAGGAGCTGCTCCCACCATAACTGTCTGTCTGCTCTTACAACAGGTGTGGCTGTGATTCACAAACCCTTGTGACACATGATCAAGCCAATGTGAGGAGCAGAAGTGAAGTGGATCCAGCTAGGTGGTGTTGGGAAGATGACTGACCTCTGACTTGACCCATCTCATTGCTGTTAATGTCTTAGCATGACAAGTGATACGTTGCAAGCATCATCCACTCTGCAGTGGATTGCATAGCCAAGTGAAAATCCCTCTGGGGACGTGTTCCATGCTAGACACGAGGTGTTGCTTGTTATCTGTGGTGCAATCAGCTGTTCTTCTCGATGGCATGTGTCCTGAGATAAACACTGTGCTTGGACTGCAGGCACGGGATTTTTTGTGTGAAACAAAACTGCTACGTTTGGGCATGTGAGTAAAAACGAACGTTTCTGGATTTCTTCCCTACTGATGCTCCGTGCACATTGCTGGTTGAACTACTTACTCACTGTGCCTGGAGGGTGGACTTTAATACTGGCAGGGGAAACTCCTGAGTTCCAGCAGAGAAAAAACAGCAGAAATGGACTGGAACAGGGTGGTCTGGCTCGAGTGTGACGCTGTCTCAGCCATACGTTTGTACATGCCACTGGACTGCTGTGTGTATCCCTGAAATGCTTGTGGAAATAAACACCATGTGGTTTTTCTACTTGCCATGGATGCTGTGTGCTGTGCGTGCCGGGACCTGCTGGGCAGTGCCTTCCCTGGGGCTGAGCTCTCTGCACCTGAGCCACACCGAACCACAGCCCCACACTACACATGCTGCTCCCACGGGCTTTGTTGCTCCTGTGAAACCAATGTTGCTTGAATAGAAAATGTTCCCAACCCACATGTTTCAGCTGTGCTGAAAGCTTCAGTTCTAGCTCTGTCCAGCATCTCAATGCCATTTCATAATAGAGCATTTAGATGTTAAAAAAAACCCCTTATGGTGCCATTAATGTAGAGACATTCCGTGCAGTGAGAGCCCTCTGTCACCCAAGCAGGGATTAATGAGCCAAGTAAAATACCTGCAGTGTTTTAATGCTTCCAGAGCAGGGAGATTAACTAATCACTGTCACTGTAATTGCTATTTTAGTCTTGCCCTTACTAAAAGTATTCTTCTATTAGTATGAAGAATTCATAAGATTATTCAAGACAGACAAATCTAGATCCAGATGTGAGGGATCTGTCTTGCTTATATACCAAATTCTTAAAGTTTTCTGTTTAAAAAGATGTTTGACTTTAAAAACTTTTTTGTGTCTCCCTATGAGCTCTGTCATGTTTCTGCATACAGAGGTGAGCTCCAAAAAGCTCCTCAGCTAAAGGGAACTAGTGAAGAAAAATATTTTCTCTACTCTTTTTCTTGTTGTTTGGGTTTGGTTTTTTTCTGTTTTCCCCTTGTAGATCAGCTGAGGCTTTTTGTTGTGGGCAGCTGTCCAGACTTGTTATGCTGGTTTCTGTCTCCATAGATCTGCTCAGTGTGACCTTAGACAGTAGAAGAGAAAAATATTTAAAAATTGATTTCTGAGGGATCCAAGCTGCATCATCTTGTGCTGCTTTTGGAGAGGAGTGGGTTTCTTCTATAAATATGTTTTCTTTGGTGTTTGAGTTGACACAGTCCTTGTTAGATGGGTGCCTGTTCACTGTGGGGCAGCAGCCCCTGCCTGTGTTGTGGGGCTGCCATTCCCTTCATGGGGAATGTGAGGCAGCTCCCACTCCTCTTGGGATCTTCTTGCTTTCACAAACAAGGGCAAACTGTCTAAAGAAAAGGCATTACTACACTTTATGCCTACCCTTCCACTGTATGTGAGCTCAGAGGTCTTGAAAATAATAATTAAAAAAAAAATTAGTCCTTTCCATAATACCCGTTAAACCTTTTGCTTTGAGTTTTACAACCTGCAGTGAAATGTGCCAAAACCATAGTGTGACATACTGCTCAGAATGTGAGGTGTTGCTTACTGCAAAAGCCATTGAGGCTGGTAGGAATGTACCCTGGTAGGAATGTATACCCGGTAGGAATGTATCCCAGTAGGAATGTACATCCCAGTAGGAACATATATTCCAGTAGGAATGTACATCCCAGTAAGAATGATCCAAGTAGGAATATTCCCCTGACTGCAGCTGCCTTTGGATCAGAGTCCTGAGATGCACCTTTATGGTGGCGTAAGGAAGGTGATGAGGCCTCAGCTGGGACAGACTCAAATTCACTGTCCCAAAAAGTGCTTCCCTTCCATGCAGCCTGGGAATAAAGGATAAAATGGGACAGACAAAGCATTTCAGTGCAAGGTAGCATCTCTTATTAGGCAGAGGTGACTGGACAAGGCTGGACAAGCATTTGGGCACTCATTAGGTCTGGTACAGACATAAAGCTAAATAAACTTCTCTATAAGCTACTGTGCAGCCCAACTGCAGCTCAACAGTTGGGAACAGTTCCCAGCCAAAATTCTCACACTTCTGGCTTCACTGGAGTAGAGGCCAATATTACCCAGAGACTATGAGTTTATGTGGGCTGGGGATAAAAATTGGTAGGTACTGCTAGAGAGGTGCAAGGCTGCAATTTGCTGTGTTTGTCAGGTGGGGAGAGTGAGTACAACTGGAGGTGGGATAATTTTATCCCCTGCTCTCCATCTGTTCATAGACCTTTCCTAATTACTAGGTTTTGGTGGTTCTCTGCTCTTGTAAAATGGCATTTCTGCCCAGTGCTGGCCCAGAGCTGGCATGCTGGACAGGGCTAGGACTCACAGCCCTTGCCAGGGGTGGGGGATGCTGTTCCCAGCCCAGCCAGTGCTCCTCGTGGTGTTCCCTCCCTTCCTTCCCAAACGTTGCAGTGTTATGCAAGTCAAGTGACCTCGTTCTCCAGCTATGCAATACAAACAACATGTGATGAACCAGCTGTGCCCCCTCCCACCCCCAAAATGCTTTTGAAATTTGTCTTTGATGTGTGGTTTCATGTTTGTATTGTTCATTTTGAGCACCTGAGCCAGATCCTTTACAGATTGCCTTTTTCTAGGACTGAAAACGTAGCATTAGTACTAACAAATTTTATTGTAAATATTTTTATAAGATGATTTTAAATAATTTTTGGATTGCTTTTTATGGTCTTCAATGACATTTCTGGATCTAATTCGTGCACTCCAGTGTGGTTTCTGCTGGCTGTGATGTAGGTGTGACTCTGTATGTTCTCTGCACAAGAAATGCCATGTTGTAAGGAAGATCTGGGATAGCTGCTGTGTTGGTTTTAATGTTAGAAGGACAGCACTGGGCTCCACAATATGAGATAAATTCAGACCCATTACCTCAGTCACCAGTAGGCCCTTAGATTATTGGTTATTTTACAATGATTCCAATACCCTGATTTAATTTCCTCGTGCCATGAGTTTGGTTCCTGGGTAGTTTGGGGGCAAGCTGTCACTTGGTGGTTCTGTTTCTTGACTCCTGCATGAGCTGCTTGAAGACAGAGATACTGCCCACAACAATCTGGGCACAACCCCCAGAATGCCAAAATCAGACATATTATTGCAGGAGCTTTACTAAAAGCTTTACAGACCAAACTATAACCTCTTCCTCATGTTGGTCCTTGGTGAATATGAACATTTTCCTTAGCTCCTTCTGTTGTAATCTCTTTTTGGGGTCACCCTGTGCTTGACCCCTGTGGGTTTCTGGCCCAGGGTTTCCTAAAGGGGATTTTGCTGCTGCAGAAAAGCCCCCAGGATGAGCCCAAGCCCCAAGAGCATCTTGTGTGGTGCACACCCTGCTGGGCTTGCACTGCAGGGCAGATTTGCCTCAAGCAATCTGTTGTTTAAACAAGTCTGAATGAAATCCATCTTTTCCATTGGTGCCTAATAGATAAAGTGGGGGTGTTTAAAATCAATTTTCAGTTCATTCAGTTTATCCAAACAGTGTCTTTTTATGGATGTGTACAACAAGTAATTACCATAAATACACTTGGCAGTGTTTGCATGTCACCACCATGAAAGTTTAATACTCTTCTCTGGTTTGCATTGTTTGGAGACCAAAATCCTTAATATCCAGTGAGGTGTGGTGCCTGTTCAGCAACCAATGATGGCTCAACAGATAAATGCTGTATATCAGGCTACTGTGATGGTTCAACAGATGAATGCAGCTTGGTATTAGCCTTTGGAATTCATGATTCATTTATATATTGTCAAAGCAGTTTCCCCCTTGGCCCACCTCATGCCCAAAAATCTCTTTCATGTGAGCATTGTTGCTCAAAGCTGCAGTGTTTGGGAGTGTGCTAGATATTATGGTCTGAATATGGGCTCATCCACTTTTATTCAACCTCCTTTATCTTTGTTTATGGGTTTATAAATTATTTTCCTCTTCAGTGACAATAAATAAATAAATATTGATAAATTTAATTTGTATATTTTATGTATAAAGACCCTCAAGGGTAATGAATGATTGTGAAGTAATTTACCTGGGTGTGAAATTTTTTGGTTTTGTAAACCAGACTACTTTGGTTCAGTAGCTGACAGTATACTCTAACAAGTTGGTTTAATGTTTAAGCTCATTTTTTAAATTAAAGATTTTTTTTTGCATGAGTGTGGAGGACAAAGGACTTTGCAAAGTAACTCTCTTGACAGCTGTCTTGTCCAGAGCGACGAACAACTCAAGAAACATTCTTCACTGACATATTTCTATTATGAAAGAAAATCACACTGTAGTTCCCCATCATTTAATTTGAATAAAAACTGGACTAATGAAACTTTCCTGGGTCTGTTTTGGCTTTGTTGGCTTCTGACAACGAGGAGCAATCTCATCACTCCACATGGCTTTATTTGTCCCTGTGTAATCACAGCAGGTGCCAGCCCTGGGTCACTCTGCCCCTTGCTGTGGGGTGATGGCACTCACTCGAGATGCTGCTCTGACGCCAAGCTCTGGTGCTGTCCCAGATTCTGCTCTGCTCCTTTTCCAAGGCAAGTTAAAAGCATTTCTCCTGGGGCTGGGGAAGCCCTTGGTGCAGGGCATGGTTGGCAGAAGACAGAACCTTTTAGAGAATGCAGCTGGGAAAAGAGAAATGAAAAAAGTTTAGCACCAAGGGCTCAATATTTCTTAATAACACCATAAAGTAACACATTAGCCAAGCCACCCAACTCATTTTGCTTTATGCTCACAAAACATCTCACTGAGCTCTTTGGTTTTCCAGAAATGCTCCTTGTGCCTCCCTCATCTGTTAATACCAATGTATAACATCAAATCTACCACGTGGGATCCTGAAATTTAATTACCTGATACACAGATAATGAATGACATATTGTGGGTTGCTCTATGCAGCTGGGGGACTTTGCAATTATTCCTGATTTCATTTCAAAATTACTTTTCTCTTGTGCAGCTGGCTCCTTTTTATTCATGTTTAAACTGATGAATCTATGAACCTGCAGCTAAAGAAAAGCCTTGGCAGTCCAGGGAGAAATCTCACTACCTTGACTTTGCTGCCTGATTTTTTTTCTGCTATTATTGTTTCTTTTTTTCACCTTATATATCACCAATCTTATATTTTCACCTTTGGGCATGTTTTCCACCCTATATTTCACCCTTGACAGGGCAGAAAGTGTATGGCAGTAGCTGCCCCCTTGCCTCATTCACCTCAGAAGGGTCAGGGTTAGGGTTTTGCAGTGAGGAAAGGAAAGAAAATGGGGAAAACTCC